TGGAACCATGGGCTGCCGGCCGCGGTCCCGATCCGTCCTTCGCTGCCATGGTGTTTTGGTGCTCCTCCAAGAGGCGGGCAAAGTCTCCAAGAGAACACGGGCAAGCTGGCAGGTGGCCGATGAAGTGCGGGCAAAGTCCAAGTTTGGAGCTAGTTTCTAGGGAGTTCAAGAAGGAACGTTTGGAACCATGGGCTGCCGGCCGCGGTCCCGATCCGTCTTCGCTGCCATGGTGTTTTGGTGCTGCGACACGGTCCTCCAAGAGAACACGGGCAAGCTGGCAGGTGGCCGATGAAGGGCGGGCAAAGTCCAAGTTTGGAGCTAGTTTCTAGGGAGTTCAGAAAGCAACGTTTGGAACCATGGACTGCCGGCCGCGGGCCCGATCCGTCCTTCGCTGCCATATGGTGTTTTGGTGCTGCGACACGGTCCTCTAAGAGAACACGGGCAAGCTGGCAGGTGGCCGATGAAGGGCGGGCAAAGTCCAAGTTTGGAGCTAGCTTCTAGGGAGTTCAGAAAGCAACGTTTGGAACCATGGGCTGCCGGCCGCGGTCCCGATCCGTCCTTCGCTGCCATGGTGTTTTGGTGTTGCGACACGGTCCTCCAAGAGAGCACGGGCAAGCTGGCAGGTGGGCCGATGAAGGGCGGGCAAAGTCCAAGTTTGGAGCTAGTTTCTAGGGAGTTCAGAAAGCAACATTTGGAACCATGGGCTGCCGGCCGCGGGCCCGATCCGTCCTTCGCTGCCATGGTGTTTTGGTGCTGCGACAGGGTCCGCCAAGAGAAGACAAGCAAGCTGGCAGGTGGCCGATGAAGGGCGGGCAAAAGTCCAAGTTTGGAGCTAGTTTCTAGGGAGTTCAGAAAGCAACGTTTGGAACCATGGGCTGCCGGCCGCGGGCCCGATCCGTCCTTCGCTGCCATGGTGTTTTGGTGCTGCGACAGGGTCCGCCAAGAGAAGACAAGCAAGCTGGCAGGTGGCCGATGAAGGGCGGGCAAAGTCCAAGTGTTCAGAAAGCAACGTTTGGAACCATGGGCTGCCGGCCGCGGGCCCGATCCGTCCTTCGCTGCCATGGTGTTTTGGTGCTGCGACAGGGTCCGCCAAGAGAAGACAAGCAAGCTGGCAGGTGGCCGATGAAGGGTGGGCAAAAGTCCAAGTTTGGAGCTAATTTCTAGGGGGTTCAGAAAGCAACGTTTGGAACCATGGGCTGCCGGCCGCGGGCCCGATCCGTCCTTCGCTGCCATGGTGTTTTGGTGCTGCGACACGGTCCTCCAAGAGAAGCACGGGCAAGCTGGCAGGTGGCCGATGAAGGGCGGGCAAAGTCCAAGTTTGGAGCTAGTTTCTAGGGAGTTCAGAAAGCAACGTTTGGAACCATGGGCTGCCGACCGCGGGCCCGATCCGTCCTTCGCTGCCATGGTGTTTTGGTGCTGCGACACGGTTCTCCAAGAGGCGGGCAAAGTCTCCAAGAGAACACGGGCAAGCTGGCAGGTGGCCGATGAAGGGCGGGCAAAGTCCAAGTTTGGAGCTAGTTTCTAGGGAGTTCAAGAAGCAACGTTTGGAACCATGGGCTGCCGGCCGCGGGCCCGATCCGTCTTCGCTGCCATGGTGTTTTGGTGCTGCGACACGGTCTTCCAAGAGAACACGGGCAAGCTGGCAGGTGGCCGATGAAGGGCGGGCAAAGTCCAAGTTTGGAGCTAGTTTCTAGGGAGTTCAGAAAGCAACGTTTGGAACCATGGGCTGCCGGCCGCGGACCCGATCCGTCCTTCGCTGCCATGGTGTTTTGGTGCTGCGACGCGGTCCTCCAAGAGAACACGGGCAAGCTGGCAGGTGGCCGATGAAGGGCGGGCAAAGTCCAAGTTTGGAGCTAGTTTCTAGGGAGTTCAGAAAGCAACGTTTGGAACCATGGGCTGCCGGCCGCGGGCCCGATCCGTCCTTCGCTGCCATGGTGTTTTGGTGCTGCGACACGGTCCTCCAAGAGAACACGGGCAAGCTGGCAGGTGGCCGATGAAGGGCGGGCAAAGTTCAAGTTTGGAGCTAGTTTCTAGGGAGTTCAGAAAGCAACGTTTGGAACCATGGGCTGCCGACCGCGGGCCCGATCCGTCCTTCGCTGCCATGGTGTTTTGGTGCTGCGACACGGTCCGCCAAGAGAACACAAGCAAGCTGGCAGGGTTGCGTGCCATTATGACTGTAATCGCGGCTTTCGCGCCAAGCCGTAAACTCTGCGTATGGTTTTCGCTCTAAGCATTCGGCGCAAGACCAATGCCCCCGCAGCTTCTGGACGCAGTCGCGGCAACAGCGCCTGTCAGCATTGCGAGCTTTCCAGGCGGCAGGGCCATAGTCTTTCTCTGCCTTGGGAACCCCACATTTGAAACATGGTTTCTTGGCTTCGCATGTCAAACACACACGGTAAAAACTACATTGACGTTGCCGATGCTTTTCGGGAAAATTGGTCTCGACATGCCACAGCTTGCAGACGTTGCATTGCCATGGCGTCCCGGCATCTGCGTAATGCTTTGTGCATTCGCGACAAACGCGATCTTTGTCGTCGCGCTTCCACTGGCCACCGGTGAAAGCTGTAGATGGCTTGCGCTCTGCGCAGGTTGAACACGCGCGTTCTTCACAATATTTGGCCAGCAAGTCCTGCCAATTGATCGGTTCCCTGCGAAGATGTCGGAGCAGCAGGTCCCGCCCTAAACCAATACCTTTCTGGAATGGAGCGGCGTCAAAAGGTCGAAAGATCAGGAGCTTCTCACGGCCTTGCACGCGGGTAATGGCGACGTAGACGGTAAATGGATTTCCCCTTGGCCCTATGCAAAGATCTGTCGTCACGCCTTCCTTGATGGTTTGGCCTTGTGCGACATGCGCTGTGATAGCAAACTGCGGCGCCAGCGGGAATTGCGTGCGTGAGACACGGAGCTTGGGGCTTCGACGTTGCCGGTCCAAGTACCACACGCGTCTGCAGGTCACAACTGGGTAGACGTTTGCGTCCGGGACACCGGATATTTGCCACGACGTGGCGGTGTCAAACTTCACGTATACCACGGCTGGCAAGTTGTTGCACACCATTCCTTCGGGTGCAGGTGTCGCATCGGCAATCGCAGACCAACCGACTACATAGCCCTTTGTGCCTTTCAGGATTCCACGCTTGCGGTCTAGGTGGTCTGTGGCCCGAACAGGCATGCCCACGCACAGCAGCAAGACGCCATACAGCCCACCGCATTCCTTGTCGTGTCGCTGCAACCACTGCAATTTCTCGGCCGTCAGATTCGGCTTTTCTTGGAGGACCGCTGCCGAAGCAAGATCGCGTGCCACAAATAAATACGGTAGGTGTCCTCGGGCGTTTGCCCATTGGAGGGCGCGGACCTTGTTGACGTGATATTTGATGTCATTTGTGCCGAAGATTGCAACTGCATCGCTGAACTCGTTCTGAAACCGACTGTCCGCATCGCCTTGGGCGACAAGCATACGCGAGCGGCGATCAGTCGCACACGTGTCGCATTCGGCCAGTTGAATGGCTTCTGGAGACAAACCTTGCGTGATTAAAGCGGCGCAAGCAGGTCGTTGACACGTTGCGTGCCCAGCAATCCAGCTTCCTGGCACCGTCGTGGGCTTGCCGTGCAAAAACTTATGGTTATCGTCGGATAGCTGCCCATGACGGAGCTGTCCTTGAAGTTCCGCTAGCCAAGCGTCTTGTGTGCGCTCACAGCGCACCAATTCCGTAACACCTTGCATGCCTGCTGTGGGGCTGCCCCAAAGAAGGGTTTGGCCCTGATGTCCGGGTGCCTGCCGTGTGCTTTTACGTCCGGCCAACAAATCCCAGGGGATATCTCCCAGAAACGTTCCTTTTGGGGGTGGCAGCTGGTACAGATCTCCCGCCAAAATCACGTTCAAACCGCCAAAGGGCCGGATTTTTCCGTCGCGGTCATACTTGGCCATGCTGAGGTCCCGCAACAGCTCGCGGCACCGAAGTTCCAGCTGCGCCAGCAATTCTGCGCTAACCATGCTGAATTCGTCCAGAATCAACCATCGCCATTGCAGGCTGCGACCCGCACATTCCATGGCTCGGATTAAGCTTTGGGTTCTGTCACCCGACCAGTCGAGACCCAGCGCGTGGTGTATCGTGTCGCCATCCAGAAGTTCAGCCATAACAGCTTGAAAACTCACGATCTGGAAGTCGACGCCGTGCTTCCATCCCAACACGTTTTCGAACAATTCGTGACGAAGATATTTCAGTGTATGCGATTTTCCAGTGCCAGGGCCGCCGTGTAAGACCCAACGAAATGGTTCGGCATCAACATTGCCAGACCGCGCGTCGCAGGTGCTGGCTGCCAGCTCTGTTTCGACGCGCGTCGCCACCAGCTTGCAAAAGTGGCGTTGCTCTTCATTACAGGGCCCTTGGGGCAAGCGCGCAACCCATTGCTGCACATTTGCGACGGATGCGCCAGACCAAACCGCAACGGAGCTGGCAAGCGGCGCCGATGGCATGCAAGTTCCGGCGCCGTCCGTTCGTTTCCGCGCCGCCTGGTGCGCTGCTTTCGGATCCAGTGCTGCATACAGCGTGTCCGTCGCCAGAGTTCTGTCTCCATGCGGTCTTGCCCCCCACAACACATCTGCGGTGTTCATTGCCGACTCAACCCGGTGCGCTCGGTCATCGTTCGCCGCTTTGTTGCTGGCTGCCTTCTGCGCTGGGCACGGCGTGCGCAGAGCTGCGGTCACATCGGCTGGGCGCAGCGCCAACAGTTCGTCGACGCCGTCGTCATCACTGTTCGCATCCGCTTCTGCTAAGAAACAGTGTCTGATCCCGAAGAAGGGCCTTGGTTGATGTACTTCGTACACAAAACGTTTCAACGCCCTATAGCAATAGTCATTTGATGAACCCACAACAAAGTGAACAGCCCTAAGCGGCTGGAAGGATCACTGACGTGGAAGAGCATAGGGGAAAGATGAAAAAGAAAACCCTGCATATGCAATCTATACACAGACCACCTACACTTGAGCCTGCATCATATGTTCTTTCCACTTCCAAGAGGTCCTCTCCGTTGAAATGGGCTGACGCTTTTCAAAAAGATTGAAGCTGTGAAGAAGCAGGTCGAGGAACCGATTCTAGTCTGAAATTTGGGACCTTATATGCATGATGCATGATGGATTGATATCATATACCCGCAGAATGCTAAATGGGAAACCACTTAAGGATGGCAGAACATCTTACACTGGAGGCCCAGTGCAAGCCAGAACCTTAATAATGTCGCTCAGCATCTGTCACATACTTGATTGATGTCTTACGAAGTCGATTGTATTCAGAGGCCCCATTATTTGAATCCAAATATGCCTAGGCTACTCAAGAAAGCAATTACGGCTGGAAAGAAGGCCCTGAATGCCGGCACAGTGCCGGACAAGGAAAAGGTGAATACCAAAGAAATCAAAGGCAACGGAAAAGGCCAAGGCCAAAAGCAAGGGAAAGAAAACCGGTGAGAGCAAACGATCTAGGGCAGAGGTGCAGGCAGACCATGAAGAAGGAGAGGAAGAAGAGGAGAAAGAATTTATGAGGAGGAGGAAGAAAGTGATGAGACACCCCCCACAAAGAAGAAGGTCAAAAAGAATTCCAAGAACTCTACTGCCAAAGCCCGCCCGTCGTCCAAAGCAGCCCCGAAAACGGCGAGAAGCAAGAACTCCAGCAGAAAGTCAGTGATCCACGCCTTGGGTTGCATCAGTGAGAGCATTGCTGCTGGGAAGCATGTCGAATACATATACTGCGATGGATAATGTCTTTTGATCAATTTGATCACTTTGAGTTCCAACTGTGGGTGGGAAACCCAATCTTGCAGTGACAAGCCTGCACACTATGACAATTGGCATAGCCCCTCTGACAGCCTGACAGTTTCTGAGTGTCGCTTCCCGGCTAGGCGCTTGGCGTGGCAGTACAGCCGTGGTGTGCCCCAGCTGAACCATGGCGCAAACCCAGCTGTAATCAGAAAGCCACTTCTGCTTCTGATTGAGCCCTTGTTGTCCATGCTACAAAGCACATCTTGACACATGGAAGTGGTGCGTCATTTTTGATGGCTTGAGTACATTGAGTTGCACGATTCTTTTGGCACATGACCGGGCAACACGCCCTGTTAGTTTTTCCTTGAACCCAGCATGGTGGCAAGGCAGGTAGAATTGAAACCAAGCTTGACAGAAGATGCACTTGATATGAAGTCTCAAGATGATGATTTCTGTGCCGCTCCAGTCTGAATGTCTGAAGATAAGCACCAGATACAAGCCAGTTCTGCTTCTGATTGAGCCCTTGTTGTCCATGCTACAGCGCACATCTTGACACATGAAACTGGTGCGTCATTTTTGATGGCTTGGGTACACTGAGTTGCACGATTCTTTTCCATCCAATTATGGTTATGGTCCAAATTTTGACCCATATAAAGGGGTCGGCGGCAGGGGGCGTAGCCCCTTAATCCGGCGACGCCGTCCGGTGGTGGTGGCTAAGCATAGCTTTAGCTACCCGGGGGCGCGCCGGTGCCGCCGACCCTCCCCTAAAATCCTTCAGCCTGGTGGGGTTTTCACGTTTTTCGGGGTCTGGGGTGGACAAAAAGAGGGTGAAATTTCAAGATGCGTTTTGGAAGTCCTAAAATCGGAAAAAAATGCCGTTTTGACACATTTTTCGGACGATTTTTCGCTTTTCGGAAGTCACAAAATGCTGTAAATTACAACATTTTTGCGTTTTAACGTCGTTGGCGGGAGCCATGCACAAACGCAGAAAATGCTGTAAATACCAGTACTTTTTGGACCCGAGATGCACAAAACACTGCAAATACCAGTGTGTTTGAAAGCCAAGCAAAAAAAAAACACTGTAAATTACAGCATTTTTGGCGGGTTGATCGCAAAAAATGCTGGTATTTACAATGTTTCTGCAATTTCAAGCAAAATCGTGGAAGGCACGAAACACTGTAAATAGCGGTGTTTTGGCAACTTTTGGACGCCGAAACGCTGGTATTTACGCAGTTTTTTGCTTGTGACGGGGCCACTCCCCTGTAAATTACAGCATTGTTTGCACTTTTTGAACCGATTTTTTGTCTTGCTGCATGCAACAAACGCTGGTATTTACACGTTTTTCAAAAAATCGAAGATCGTGATGTGAACGAAACTCTGCAAACCTGAGAAGGGGTGGAACGAAAGCCAGCGCTTGCTTTTTGACTCGCGCGGGGGCGCGTGAAACTCCACCTCATCCATATGGCATGGCTCAAACATGAAGCGCCCCAACATCAACAATTGCTATCGGGTCATAATTTTCCAATCATTAAATGGACCTTTTTAGGGTAAACTCCACGATTTTGTAACTTCTATATCCAAATATGTTTCCTACAATGTACTGCGGCATTGTGAAAAGTTCTATCTCAAGTTCCGTAAATCCGCCTTTGGTTGCTCATTTATCTTAAAACAGCGCAAGTTTGCTCCCACCTATAGATAAATAATACCCGTTTTTTTGTGTGAACAGTGGTCATGTGACCTCTCAAAGTCTAAATCGTTTTCTCCCCAGAATCGTGGTCCATGCTTCTCCGCGAAGTTCCGCAACATTTTGGCCGTACGGTGAGAAATCAAATATAGCTCTACTCGCAAAATGGGCAATGCAAACCCAAGACAATATTATAACATACGTAAGAAAGGGTATAAGAACGAATGAAAATCGAGGAAAACAATGCAAAACCCACGGGAAATATAGAACAGTGGCGAACATGCAGCCCAAATCAAAAGTATATATATTTAGGCCATTTACAGACCTTGGTACCCCCCCCACCTCCCAAGGGTCTGGAAAATAGGTATTTTACAGGAAATGTCGCGGAATAGCATCATCCCTGACATCGATAGAGATAATTGTTTGGCATCCCGGAAAATCTTCTCAGCTATCCCACTCGCCAAACATCCCTTTAAAAGGCACACATACTATCACGGACGTACAGATGCATATCATTCCCGTCATTGCCATTAGAAGATTCAAATTCTTTCTCGATGTTTTAGTACAAGATTCACTTTTAGTTCCGTTTCAGCCTTCTCAGTACGGCCTCTTACAATGATATTACAGCATTTGTCTCCTAACCTAGGTGGCTCCTGGGCGCAATCTTCATTCCAATGCTTTGTGACAATAACCAGAGGCCTGGAGCCTATGCATCACTTGACAGTCGACTCAGTTCTAAACCGGAAAGACTATTCCTTCCGTTTACCAGTAGATCGTTTTTGTAGTTCTTATCACAAAACTACCAGAATCAGGGAGGCACCAAAAAACGTCAAACAGCTTTAAGCATTATAAATACTCTAATCTGCAGATTGTATTTATTTTTCTTACTCTGTGAACGAAATCACACTTTTCTAACTTCACACAGATTACCATGAAACCAATTTTCCCATGCAACTCCTAAAATCTTACAACTCATACATCTTTTTTCCTATACCATCCGCATCTTGCTCCAAGGTTTCATGGCAATGTCTTGTACGCGAGTCAGCCACTATTTCCTATCACCAAACTACATTGCTCATCATCTAACATTATCTACAGAAACCAAATCGGATTTCCTGCTCAACGTTTCCGCTCGTTAACATTGTCTTGGTTTTCACTATATTTTTAAAGCATTTTTAGATATAACATTTTCCTAGGTTTTCACTGTATTTTTCTAACATGTTACATGCCTCCTAGCATGTTCACGCGTGTCCTCCATGTTGTACTGTTTTCTACATCGTTTCCTCTAGTTGTTACAAGCATTTCCTAGCTTGTACACCGTTTTCCTAATATTGTCACAACTTTTCTTCCAGTTTCCACTGTTTTTTCTACCGTTTCCTGTGGTTACTTTCTTCTCTTTTGTAGGTTTTCACTGTGTTTTGTCCAGCTTTTTTTATTACATGCTTCCTACCATTTTCACCGCTTTCCTCTATGGCTTTTTGTACCATTTCCTCTCGTTTCCTGCATTTCATGCATTTTCAATATATTTTTCCAAGAGTTTTACCCGTCTCCTTCAGTTTCCGATCGTTTTTGCACCATTTCCTCTGGTTGTTATCGCATTTTCCTGCACTTTCACTGTATTTTTCCAGCATGTTTACTGCATCGTCATGGTTTGCGCCTAGCATTCGCTCCGGTTTCCTCCATTTTCCAAGGGATTTTCCATGGTTTGTTCCTCGCATTCGCTCCGTTTTCGTCCGTTTTCCAGGGGATTTTGTACGATTTCCTCTGATTGTTATCATGTTCTCCTGCAGTTTCATTGTATTTTCCAATACATCCTCATGGTCTTTCCGGCCACCAAAAAGGCGGACCTAGGGGGAATCGATACCCCACCGTCAGCAAATTGCCTAGTGGTACTTAATCCAGCAAAATGCTCCGTTTTCTGGCGCTCAACACAGGGGCACGGCGAGATTTCGTTCCCTTTCGGCAACCACCCCCCCCCCACACCCCCTATTCTCACTTCGTTCGCAAACAGCAACTAGCCAGCTAGCTGGCTTTCGTAATAAGAATGTTTTAGCCACTTTCGGGGACTAAAACTGTTGTATTTACACGGGTTCTTGCCATCTCACAGCGCAAAATGCTGTAAATTACAACACTTTGTGCGCATAGGCATAGGCCAACATAGCCTCAAGATGGGCCAACATAGCCCCAAGCTGGGCCAACATAGCCCCAAGATAGGCCGCCGACCCTCAGCATGTCATGTTCGCAAGTTCAGATGACATCCCCCTCTCTCTTTCCCTCCCCCGACCCCTACCGGCGTCGCCGGTGTGCGAAGCTCTACAATAAGATTTACAATATGAATTTGCTGGTCGTCTGTAGACTGATGTAGACTCCGTTTCGTCATCCTCTCTCCCAGCAACTCGACACAACTTGAAGCTTCCAGGGCTTCCGCCATCTCCAGGCGCCCAGCAAGCTTAAAAGGCCCTGCAGTGCCTTCACAAGGCCCTGCATCAGCCTGTGAGCTCCAGGAAGAACCCCACCCTTTGCCAACAAACAGGAAGAACATACTAAAAACAACCAGATGCAAACTTAATGCAAACACATGCAACATTTATGTAGATATTGATATGGCATGTGCATGCCCATAAAACCCCATATATATATACATATGTGTCCACTGCGGGGATATCGGTGTATCATTCATTAATCACATAATGCATGTCATAGACGAATTGATATGTATATATAATTGATTGTAATTGTATGTGTTTAATGTGTATGTATATATATATATACCGCGAGGTATCGACTAGGAGTAAGACAGAAAAATCAAATAGATTCAAATAGTGCTAAAATTGTGCTAAAATTGTGCTAAAATAGTGCTAAATGTTCAACTTCAGAAATTCATAGAAATCAACAATGACTTAGTGGTCATCAGTGATCAGAGCTACAATCAGAGCAGAGTCAAATCTTGTGGAAAAAATGGCCTCATACTGCTCAAGGCGTTGGAGCTCTTCTGCTTCGCCTGCCAGCCACGTGGCTGGGAGGTCCAAGGGTCTCATGAACATCTAGGGATGATACCGATTGATTCAAATTGATATCTATATAACGACTCGATATTGGCAAACAAATGCAAAAGTATATGCAAAAGTATGCAGACATAACAATAGAAAGCTACGCAATCAGTGTAGGCAGCGCGCTTAGCTCTACTCAGCTACAGAGGCTGCATGGAACAACTTTATCAGCTCGACACAATCGGGCCTGAGTCGGGAATGAAAATTGCTGCCTTGGTCCAGCCAAAGTCGTCTCGCAAAAAGGCAGAATATTGTCAGGTAGCTTTGGCTGTCTAAGTCACAGTCTGAGCAAGAAACGAAATCAATGGTGTAAGCGGAGAGAACGAAATCCCACTGAGCAGATGTGCCTAGCACGCAACTCTTAAAGAATTGAAGAAAACATTAGAAGAAACACCACTGCCCGATGCTGATTCTGTTGAGAAAATATCCCATGGTGAATTTGCCCATGCTTTGTCCCGTCATGAACATCATGCCCGACTTGTTTCCTACGGTCTGATACGGGCCTTCAGGCAGCTCTACCACCAGTTTTGTTTGGCTTCTGGCTGCAACCTTAGAGTACAGTGACAAAAGTTTGAAGAATTCTGGACTACAAACAAAAAGTTGATTGTCATTGGCGTTTGCATCTTGCTCCTATGAGGTCTCTAAATTCTTAGGCTAGACGCATAGGAGCAAAGCGCAAGCTCATCACAGACAGTTTCGAGGAAATGAAGCTAAACCCTCTCATCTCGTGAAAAAAGCATTGATACATAAAGTAAGCTAGAAGCCGAGATCTCTCCTTGGTTTGCCGACGCATGTTCGAACAAAACGGCCAGAAAGAAATGTCCAAGCTAGCATGAAAAATGCTGTAGAACACGTTCTCTTCCCTTTAAATACGCACTGCTTCACTGCACATACACACTTGGACACACCCTCAACAATTACAAAAGCGCTTGATCTGACGTCCAGTTGTCCTTTTCATCATCCAGAAAGCCTTTTTGAGAGGACATGCTTGTGATCGCAAGCTAGCATATTCAAACTTGTTTGAGAGGGAGCATAAGTTGTCCAAGAGAGCAGTTTCACAAGAATCTCTATATAGACTCTATAGAGACTAGTTTCGGTAGTATTCTTCGAATTCTGCACCCACAAGCCTGCGAAGGTGAGTTGCCTCGGGAAACAAATAGATTTGACATGATTTGACACGGGCCATGAACTTGACTGTCAAGATTGTCCAACAATTTGGACATATATGGAAACATACAAAAGTTATACAAAACAGTTGGAAAAAAAAGAAAAGAAACATGTCTGCACCACTTTAAAAAAGAACCTCCTGATCCGGCCTTGAACTCCACTTGTTTTTGGAAAAAGTGGTCGCTGACTCCAATCGATGATAACTTAGCCAAAGCCTGCATGGTCACACAAGCACAGCAAACGAAAGGCCCACCAGTAGCTTCTTTTCGATGCGTTTTGTTCAATCTATCTGTGTTGCAGTCAAATCATTCTTTGAGTGGGCAGTTGTATCATCTGTTGTGTCTCTCTCAGCCCTTACTCTTTCAACCATCAATTAGTACTGTGCTCGAAGAAGTACTGCAATCTAGTGGATCTACATTGAATCTACATCGCACCTATTGAATCCTGTTGAGCTGACAAGTCCCATGCCGCAACCCCCCTCTCCTCCTGTGCTGCATGAGGACGGCCTCGTGCGAAGTTCGCATACGCCAGAACTAGGTAACAGAAGTGGAGGGCACCTTGGTCACAAAGTTTGGCACGTGGGACATCAATGAGCAACATACCGAGCAAATCATACAGTGGAACACAATGGAATACAATGGATACAAGGAAAATTGGGGGCATCCGTGCCCTTGACAATTCACCCCACAAAACAGGCAGGATTTTGGACAGGATCCGGCAACCGTTCGGATTCAGTGAGGTCTGTCATGGTTTGATAGAAAATGATGGAAAGCACCAGCTCAAAATCTGGGTAATCGACCAGTCTTTACACCATGGGGACTTAGCTCTGATTGCAGCGCCTGGGCAAGACACTTATGACTTACGTCTCATGATGTCTCATGACAACTGCCAACTTGAGAAAAAATTGGACTACTGTACTGTACTTCTCCTTGTCTCGGGCCGTGTGCAATATCTGGGAGCCAAGCGCAACCATCAGAGGCGAGCTTCAAAGCCTCTTCCCAGTGCTCTCCTTGCCTCATCGCCTGGAATCAAGGCACAGAATGGAAAAGTTGCCAATCCCAATCCACAAGTATCCACAAGGGGGCCTCTGCTTGGATACAAAGACCGACGCATCTTCCTCAGCAACTCAAAATTTCCGTTCACACGGTTCCAACAGAGCCTACTCCAGCCTACGCGCTTCACTCTGATAATGTTGCATGATGTCGCGCAACAACGCACATCTCAGCAGTCCCAACATGCCGAGCCATGCCATTGATCAGTTCAAGTTTCCATCTGCATCTTGCTGCAAGTCGGTTTCTTCCTGTACCATCTGGAGAAATTCCTGCCATGCCAATGTGGTGCAGTTCCTCCGGCAATAAGTCTGAGTTTTCTACGCATACTTGGATTTTATCTGGACCTGTGACAAAGCCCTGCACTCAGACTTGAGGCCAAGAGATTAAAAAAACGAAAGCCATCAGGGTGGGTACAAACAAGTAGACGTAGAAACAAAACCTGACTTATTCACCTGTGGAGTGATCATAAGGCAACAAAGCTCCATCGCCCGCATCTAAGTGGAGGTTTGAAACACAAATCGTTAGCCATGTCCCAGCCTCATGAAAATGCTGGGTAAAAATGAAACCAATGGTGCTACTGATACCGATGAGGAGCAGTAACTCAGTAGGATGAAGATGATGGTACCGTATCACGGTCATGAAATGTCATGAATATATACAATGAATACAAATGAATACGCTACTGATGATGTCTCGATGTCTCACACATCCACCCCATCTACTTCTGTGTCTCGTTCATTTCCCGCCAGTCCTTTCCCGCATCGGGTTTCATGAAGTTCACTCCACGATAGACCAAGCAGATCTGACAGCGCCAACGCCGGGCGCTGTCAACGAAAGTATGATCACAACAAACTGCCTGATTGATCTTATTCCCTTAAAGTTCTTATAAGTTCTTGAAGAGTCAAAGATTTTGTCGTCTCTGGCTCTGGCAATTGTCATTGTTGCATTTCCTTGGCGATCCGTTTTGGTGATCGGCCTTGAGGTACAACATCAGCACTGACCGCCATGTGCTCTCCATGGCAGAAGCCTATGCTGCGAATCTGCCAACAAGTAGCTGCAAAGTGCAATTGGTTAAGACGGAAAAAAATTATGCGAAAATATAATCTGGCAGGTTCCGGAGGGATCTTCGGAACATAGGAATTCGGAATGCGGTTCTTGGGGACTAGTCCATTTTCATTTTTTTTGTGGCTCTATGAACTGACACCCGCCTCCTGACCTTTTTCCTCCTCTCCTGCAAAGCAGTGAAGGGGTGGCCAAAACATACCCCAAACTCTACCAGCCTGCGGAAGGCAATGTAGTGTAAGTAAATGAAGATGAAGGTTATGCAGTCATACAGAACTTGCGAGATCTTGTTCCAGTTGTGCCTCTAAAGAGATGCTATCAAGCTTACCGATGCCCACTGACGCTTAGCCCTGAGACATGGTTCCGCGCAAAGCCTGCCTTTGGAACCTTCTCCTTCCTGAGCTTCCTGCAAGGAGTAAACTAAGCGACAGTCTCCGTTCAATGGTGTGCGTGAATTGCCCGGTGTGCATTGTACCAACTTTATTCCCAAAAAAAACTAGACACTTCAGAAATCTTGAGATTTTTCATCTGAGAATTAGGTTTGGAGATGTTTCAAAGGCACTTTGGATTCTTTTGGATGTTTCAATGCAGCAAAACTGGCAGCTGCTCTCCACCGATGCCTCTGCCTTCGCCTCGTTGGCGCGATGAGCTGCTTCCGCTTGGCGTAAGGACCTAGGCGAAGTATGGCGAAGCGTGGCGAAGCTGGGGCAAGAACAAGGTCAAACAAAGTGTCAAGCATTTGTCAAACATGTTCCGAAACTTTGTTCATTGTTGATGGAATATTTTGAGAAGACAGTTCTGAGTTCCCTTCTGTCCTTTTGTATTCTTAATTTAAAGTCAGAAACCCCACACGACAAACACACAAGCCGGACCGTGTCCAGTAAAGCCTTACAAGGTACGCTCGATCCAACGGAGACCACTTCTTCTTCTCCTGTCATTCAACTCAACATAATGAAGGTCAAAGATAGGCAAAGTATGTCAAAGTCACGGATTGTCGAAGTCTTTAAGTTGCTTCGTCTTTGACTTGGCACATTCGGGGCTTGTTCTTCGAACAACTCGATACAACTCGTCTGGGCTTGCCTTGTTGTAAGAGCGGCAAGTTTCCAGCCTGCACTTATATACGGAGTGGCAAAGGATAGCAAAGGCAGTGCGAGCACTTCTTCGTACCACTTCCACGCCCGACAGAGACTCTGGAAATGAATGGAAATGAATTCATTTGATAAATCAAAAATGATTCAATAACATTTTATTGTCACCGAGTCTCATTTCAGCAGCTCGCTCCTGGCAGACTTGAACAACATCCTAAGATTTTGCATGTCGCTGATTCAATTTTGGGAGAGTTCATTCGCACACTTCATAAAAAGTGCAACTGCGCCTCCAAACCAGCCCGGCTATAGCAAAGGTGTGAGTTTAGTGACAGTGAAGGACACAATGCACGCCTGTCAGTTTGCATTAAACTGAGAAATCTTAAGAATTATGGCTTATGGATGCTTTTGGTTGCTACTGGTCCTAATTACATCGGTTTGGTGATGCTCTCGGACCAAAGAAATGTGGATGTACTAGTTGGACCACGGCTCATAATTCGCCGTCGTAAAATGTGTAGTGTTTATATATTTTATAATATGTCTTCATCATTTTTCGGGTTATGATGGGGTGGGGGTGGAGTGGGGCGGGGGGCTAATAACGTCCTGTTGTTGCATCCGCATAGACGTGCTATCTTACGCTATCATAGCTATGTCACGTTGGTGTGGGGTGGGGTGGGGGGGCTAATAATGTCCTTCTCTTGCATCCGCACAGACGCGTCATCTTACGCTGGTGCAACGTCTGCACGCTACAGATGCTACGCTGGTACCACGTCTGCACATTGCGGATGCTACACTGGTACCACGTCTGCTACTAGTTTGATGTTATTGGCAGCAGGTTCATTGTATTATATAGTATTCATTCCAAAATACACTGTAAAACTGTATAACCTTGTCTTGTTTTGCAATGCAAGCAGTAGCGCATGTGCAAAGGCTGGAGCCATTCTGGTCCAAACATGTCCAAACAGGAAACAAGGAGCTCTTGCACCTGCCAACACTTTGGTAGACCTTCACAGCATCCCTCAGCAGTGGTCAGGCCACGGTGGAAGGGTGCTGCTTCACTGGACATCAGCGTTGGTATCGTTGTTGTCTTGTCGAAAAAAAAAACGAGAAGACAAACATGACAAACGAACATAGAAGATCATAGAAGCGAAGAACGTACAGGCATTCAAAGGAGGCAAATGGAAGCAACTACTTTGCAAAAAAGCGACGCAAAGGCATCCCCTGCAGCTTGCCACTGAAAAAGGGCAAGAAGAAACCTTGGTTTCAAGAAGAGTGTCATTGGGATTTGTCGCTCATGGACTGCACAGGTAACGAGAACTAATCAATCATCATGAAACTTCTTTTAAAAACATTTAATAACAGATCTAACAGTCCATTTTTAAAAAATAAGATGTTTGGATTTGGAGCAGTCTATGGCATGGCGCAAGATTGGCCAAGATCCAGGCGTTGCTCGTCTCACATTCACAAGGAAGAGGAACGCCGGCAAGTTCTCCACCGATACTTCTGGAAAAAGGTTGGCAGTGCTGCCCGACATCCAACAATAAAAACATATAAAAACAATAAAGAACCATGATGATCAAAGAACAAACACTGCAACATCTGCAACTGCTGGCGGTGTCCCGATTGAAATCTGGGTTCTGGAGTTTCCAAGGTCGCAGCTGATCTGGTCGAGCTTTGCCAAGGCACCTCTCCACATCAGCTCAGGTTGTGCCCGTGGAATACTTCCCCAAGCCCCACTAGACTCACTAGACCACTAGGCACAAACCTGTACAAACCTGCTGGCTGTCCACTGTCATCCATTGTCCGGTCTATTCCTGCATCGCGTCACTTCTTTTCTGTCCACAACACGCTTCCCAGTGCCATGACGCCCTTCAAGCACTTCACGGCAGTCTATTATCTATTGCACGCTGGTGCGTGCAAGACATAAGGCACCTGGTGGTGCAAGACTCTGCAAGACATAAGAAGGATCCCTACAAAACAAGCAGGGAGGGGAAAACAATTTTGCTTGTCAGCTTGCGAGGCTGAGGGAAACTATTAAAGTGTCTGCATCATGGCGAGCAGGTCTTCACACGTCATGGACAAGAAACATCACGAAACATGATACCGGCTGTGACTTACCTGCAACACCCACTCATTTGAAACACCCTAAGACCCTCAGCAGGTTAGCTCACTGGGCAGGAAGGCTCACCGCCGCCGCCGCCCATTTGCTGCATGAACATCGCAAGAGCTCGCCTAGTAGAAAATGTCTTCAAAGGAGGAACGCGACAACAGCAAAAAAAAGAGACAAACAAAAATGGATCAATGTCCAAGTCTGTTGACAACTCTGGCTCAGTTCTGAATAAACTTACTAACTCCACAGTTGGCTCCGCTCAAATCTCTTAGTTGTGGCAATGCGCAAACGAATTGAACCGCGGCAAAAATTGCAAAAAAGAAATCACATATATCATATATCACCTCCTCTGTAGTAGCTTCTGGCAACGTCCTACAAGTATATAGTCACCATAAAATGCACGGATGAATGTATCATTCAAGTGGCTGATCAACACCTGCTGCTCCACCAGCCAAGGAAATCTGCACACCAGGCATGCCAGAAAGAACTATCCGGGAGACCTTGAATGCATTTCAGATCATTTCAGCACATTTCAGCATGTCAAACTTAAACTTGTGGTAGAACTTCGGACAGAATGTGTTTCACAATGTGTTGAACATTCTTCAGTCTGCCGTGGTGCTTGATTTGTCGCCTGGATCTGTGGCAGCTTCTCGACCTATGAAATCTCCCAAGCACCCCAAATGACCACAATATCCACAATTCACAAGAAAGTTCAACCCTTTCAACCCTTTCAACCCTTCCAATCCTCCCTCCTGCGCAATTCCGATCCTAAATGTTCCTAAATGTGACATTCAGTCAGTGCAATTCAACTTTGGATCTTGAACATTTTGGATCATTCGGGATCAAACTGACCGAAAAAACATCTCCAACAGTTTCGAAGTTTCTTCAGATTTTTTCAGTGCGTTGCGCCTCCTCTTGTAGATGGGGCGGTCGCAGCTCTGCGGGAGTTGTTTTAAATAGCAAGGTGCCCCATCGATACGGTAGAGTTTCCTGACCCAGACAAGGTCGGATAAACGCTATCTGGACAGAACTTGCGTACAAACTTGAGATTGAAATGGTTTGAAATCATTTGAAATCTCGGCCTCGACGCAAACGTCAAGTTTTTCTTCCAATTGCACGCGCTCATCTGGTGCCCATCCATCTGTTGGACAGTAAAGAGTGTCGCGGCTGCTCTTGAAAACGCAGATCTCCTGCAACTCCACCAACATCAAAGTTTGCAGCCGCTTTAGCCACTTTAGCCACTGGACCATTTGGTCCCACATCCCAAATCGACTCCACCAGGATCAAGCATCAGTGATGTTGCGTTCTGTATTGAGAAATATTTTTAGGTGCGAAGCTCTTTCCAACTCAACATTAAAGCAAATTGAGTTTTCCTCACTGCAACAGTAACAGTAAACCACAATCGTGCAAAGCTCCTGCGACACTCCAAGAGCTGAAGCTTGAAAAAGACCCCAACCATTCTTCTCGTCCCACTTGATGATGAAGGGCGAACCATCTACCTGAATCACGTTGAACGTTTCTTAAGTCTCTGAGTTTCAGGTTCCGCCCACCACATGTCTTTAACCCAGACGTTTTGTATAATTATAATTAACCTAATTCAATGTATTATGAATATAAATATATATAGATATATAATATAGATATAGATATACATATATATATATATATGTATGCACAGACATTGTATGGGATCAAACCTTGTGGTTCTCCGTAACCCACAGGTTTGTTTGTTTTGGGGTGTTTCGGGGGTGCGGTTTGGGTGCGGTGGGCCGTATTTGTATGTATTTGCAGAATGTTGGGGCCAAAATCGTCAATGTGGATGATGCTCTCGAATTGCGTTTGCAACATGTAACATGTTTGCAGCATTTTGGCTACAATTAATCAACTAGAAGCAGCTAGAATCTGCAAGTACACGGCACTATGTGCAGCGTTTTCAATCTAAACTCACTTATCTACAGAGCATGTGCGCTATTTTGGAGCCAAATTTGTGCTTTGTAAAGTATTCGAAACATGTTGTAAATTTAGGGTTGGTCTAGGGTTCAAGTTGCCGCTTGGCGCAGTGTTTATTGCAAGTTGGCTTAGGATTTACTTAGGGTTGGTCTAGGTTTTTTTGGTTGGTTTAAGGTTTTATTTATGGCTAAATTAAGGATTTTTGATGATGGTTTTTGGATGTTTATGGATTATTTAGTGTTTAGCTAGAGTTAATTCAAAATTTATTTAAGGTTCCTTTGGGGTTTATTTAGGGTTGGTTTAGGGTTTAGCTTAGGGACTATGTAAGGTTTGTTTAAGGTTTATGTAGGCGGGTTCGTTTAGGGTTTATTGAAATTTATGGTTGGTTTGGGATTTATTTGGGGCGCGTTAAGTGCCTATTCATCTTGCTCGAGGTTGGTTTGGGATTTATGGATATGTATGCAGGGTTAGTTTAAGGATTATTCAGGGTTGGTTGAGGGCTCTTTAGGGTTTCGTCGCGTCGTCCAGGTCGTCCAGGTCGTCGTGGTCGTGGTCCTCGTGGTGGTCGTCGTGGTGGTGGTGGTGGTGGTCGTCGTCGTCGTCGTCGTTGCGGTTGTGGTGGTTGTGGTTGTTGTGGTTGTTGTGGTTGTTGTGGTTGTTGTGGTTGTTGTGGTTGTTGTGGTTGTTGTGGTTGTTGTGGTTGTTGTGGTTGTTGTGGTTGTTGTGGTTGTTGTGGTTGGGTGGTTGTTGTGGTTGTTGTGGTTGTTGTGGTTGGTGGTTGGTGGTTGTTGTGGTTGTGGTGGTTGTTGTGGGTGGTTGTGGTGGTTGTGTTGTGGTTGTGGTGGTTGTGGTGTTGTTGGGTGGTTGTGGTGGTTGTGGTGTTGTGGAGGTGTTGTGGTGGTTGTGGTTGTGGTGGTTGTCGGGTTGTTGGTTGTTGTGGTTGTGTGGTGGTGGTGTGGTGGTGGTTGGTGGTGGTGGTTGTGGTGGTTGGCGGTGGGTGTGGTTTGGCCGGTGGTTGCGGTGGTTGCGGTGGTTGCGGTGGTTGCGGTGGTTGTGGTGGTTGTGGGTGATGGTTGTGGTGGTTGTGGTGGTGTGTGGTTGTTGTGGTGGTGGTGGTGGTGTGGTTGTGGTGGTTGTTGTTGTTGTGGTGGTGGTGGTAGTGGTAGTGGTTGTGGTTGTGGTCGTTTTTGTTATTGTTATTGTTATTGTTGTTGTTGTTGTTGCTGTTGCTGTTGCTGTTGCTGTTGCTGTTGCTGTTCTTGCTGTTGCTGTTGCTGCTGTTGCTGTTGTTGTTGCTGCTGTTGCTGTTGCTGTTCCTGTTCCTGTTGCTGTTGCTGTTGCTGTTGCTGTTGCTGTTGCTGTTGCTGTTGTTGTTGTTGGTTGTTGGTTGTTGGTTGTTGGTTGTTGGTTGTTTGTTGTTTGTTGTTTGTTGTTTGTTGTTTGCTGTTTGCTGTTGATTGTTTATTTGTTGTTGTTGCTGTTGTTGCTGTTGCTGCTGCTGCTGCTGCTGCTGCTGCTGTTGGTGTTGTTGTTGTTGTTGTTGTTGCTGTTGCTGTTGCTGTTGCTGCTGCTGCTGCTGTTGTTGTTGTTGTTGGTTGTTGTTGGTTCTCACGCCCAAGGTACGGCCCCGTGGAACTTGAGATCAGGCGGAGGCGGACGAAAGGTAGTGTAGTGGGAGAGGAGTGGTGTCAAAATGCTGCGCCCCTAAGATGATACACCAAAAACGTTTTTGCGCAGTCTAAGATGATTTTATCCAGAGCATGACTGCATGATACGGTGTCTTGTGCAGCGTGAAATGATGCACAAAAAGGGGTTTATTTAAAACCACTTTTTAAGACCCCTTGCAGCAACTGTTATTGAGGCTGAAGCAAACCAATTATGCTGAACTACAGGGACATCTCCCTCATGGAGAGTGTGCCTCTACTGTGGCGGACCGTGACTGCGTCACCCGCAAGAATTGAACCCATGACCATTTTCGGGGGGGGGGGCCTGATAATTGATATCTAATACATAACGGCTAGAATTCCACGTTTAGCCCGGGCGGCCCCCCCAATACCCCCTATGCTTGTGCTGAAGCACGGAGAACTCAGGTAGCTGACGCTACCTTTCGTGATATTTTTTTTTACAAACATGGGTTGGGGTGGGGTGGGATGTTAACGTTCATGTTACGCTGATGATGTTACGCTGCTCGTGGGGGTTGGGGTGGGGTGGGATGTTGACGTTCATGTTACGCTGATGATGTTACGCTGCTCGTGGGGGTTGGGTTGGGGTGGGGTGGGATGTTAACGTTCATGTTACGCTGATGATGTTACGCTGCTCGTGGGGGTTGGGGTGGGGTGGGATGTTGACGTTCATGTTACGCTGATGATGTTACGCTGCTCGTGGGGGTTGGGGTGGGGTGGGGTGGGATGTTAACGTTCATGTTACACTGATGATGTTACGCTGCTCGTGGGGGTTAGGGGTGGGGTGGGGTGGGATGTTAACGTTCATGTTACGCTGATGATGTTACGCTGCTCGTGGGGGTTGGGGTGGGGTGGGATGCTCACGTTCATGTTACGCTGATGATGCTACGCTGCTCGTGGAGGTTGTGGTGGGGTGGGGTGGGATGTCAATGTTGATGTTACGCTGATGATGTTACGCACATAGATGTCCTGTTCCCATGGGTTGGTTGATTTATTTTTTTTCCTTGGTCCCTAGGTAAATGATGGTAGATGGTACACCCAAGGAGCTGTGCAACAAGCATAAGCTCACTCGAGATGTGAATGGATCCATCCGAGACTACGTGTTTGCGTTTGTTTGTCGCACAAACTGGAGCAACGCAAACACGTTGAACAAGCTGGCTGACTTGGCCTCCACGTGCTGAGACAAAAAAGTCTGTGTTTTTTTTCAAACACGTGTGTTGCATATGGATGCTAAACATGGGTAGAACTGCGAATTCATAGCCTCAAAGTCATGCAAATACCATCGAAAATGGATGATGGTTTTTCAAAGAGAAAACAGAAACCCTGTAAGGGTTGTCGATTTTATGCATGGACCATGTTGGGAACTCGCAAAAACAGCGGGACCGTAACTATGACGTGACCTTGTTTGTTGTTTGTTTTTTGTTGTTTGTTGTTTGTTGTTTGTTGTGGCGGTGGTTCGTGGTTCGTGGTTGCGAAGGTTAGGATGGTTGGGATGGTTGTTCTTGTTGTTCTTTTTGTTCTTGTTGTTCTTGTTGTTCTTGTTGTTCTTGTTGTTCTTGTTGTTCTTGTTGTTCTTGTTGTTCTTGTTGTTCTTGTTGTTCTTGTTGTTCTTGTTCTTGTTGTTCTTGTTGTTCTTGTTGTTATTGTTGTTATTGTTTTTATTGTTGTTATTGTTCTTGTTATTGTTCTTGTTATTGTTCTTGTTATTGTTCTTGTGCTTGTTCTTGTTGTTCTTGTTATTGTTCTTGTTGTTGTTCTTGTTCTTGTTGTTCTTGTTATTGTTCTTGTTGTTGTTCTTGTTCTTGTTGTTCTTGTTATTGTTCTTGTTATTGTTCTTGTTATTGTTCTTGTTATTGTTCGTGTTCTTGTTATTGTTATTGTTATTGTTCTTGTGATTGTTCTTGTTATTGTTCTTGTTCTTGTTATTGTTCTTGTGAGTGTTCTTATTATTGTTCTTGTTCTTGTTCTTGTTTTTGTTCTTGTTATTGTTCTTGTTATTGTTCTTGTTATTGTTCTTGTTATTGTTCTTGTTGTTCTTGTTATTGTTCTTGTTGTTGTTCTTGTTATTGTTCTTGTTATTGTTCTTGTTATTGTTCTTGTTATTGTTCGTGTTCTTGTTATTGTTCTTGTTATTGTTATTGTTCTTGTTATTGTTCTTGTGATTGTTCTTGTTATTGTTCTTGTTCTTGTTATTGTTCTTGTGATTGTTCTTATTATTGTTCTTGTTCTTGTTCTTGTTATTGTTCTTGTTATTGTTCTTGTTCTTGTTCTTGTGGTTGCTGTTGCTGTTGCTGTTGCTGTTGCCCTTTCAAATAGTCTTTGTCATTGATGTTTTACTTGCTCTAGATGCAGCATGCCGCCAAGAAGCAAAAAAACAAAAAGCCAAGAACCATGAAAGCCAGCAAAGCCAAGAAGCGAAGAAGCCCAGACAACAAATGTTAAAAATGCCAGGAAGCAAAAAGCCACAAAAGCCAAGAAACCAAAGTCACAAGAGCCACAAAAGCCAGACTAGAAAAGAAAAACAGGAACAAAGGAACAAAAAAATGTTCCTTCTGTATAACGAGCAAGACTTCGTCCAGCAACCCAAGGAGGGTGCGACCGAGAAGCTCTCTGATATCGCCGCCTCCAGAGGTACATGGCGTTCACCAGAATTTCAAATTCTCAGACATGACTGACATCAGACAGACATATCTCGGTAGCTTGTGGCTTTGCACTTCTCTGTAGGCATTTTCAAGACGACAACAAAGCTCCGCCCACCTGCTTGGGACCGAAGAAGGCGTGGAGTCCTGCACGTTGAAAAGCGTGGGTAGTGACTAGTGCGATGCAAATTTGGTAGAACCTGTAGAACATTTAGCTTCTGCAAACAGCAGAACAGCAGCTCACAACAGCATGGCGAATGTCTTCAACCATTGAACCGCTCTTTCAATCTCTCAGCGACTGTTTGTACTGTATTACTGTATCACTGTATCTACTTGATTCTGCACAGATTGTGACTGTATCGACTGTATCCTGTCTGACCCTCTACGCTTCCTGAGGCTCTGGTGGTGCAGGCGGAGGATCCACAGGGCCTTCAGCGCCAGCCTCAGTGCCAGCCTCAGCGCTAGCTTCAGCGCTAGCCTCAGCGCTAGCCTCAGCGCCAGCCTCTGCGCTGGCACTGGTGGCACCGGGAGCGCTAGCAGTGGGGGCACTGGGGGCGCTGGGGCCACTTGGGGCACTCGGGGCACTCGGCACACTCGGGGGCATGGGTGTCATTGTTCGTGCAAGCGTTGGAAGTGCGGCAAGCGGTTGTGGAAGCAGCATCTGATCCTGTCTGACCGCCACGTAGACACCATCAGCAGGTCCTGCATCTGAAAAGCACAAGATTCGAACAGCTTTTGCTACCATGGCCGCCTAAGAAACTTGGCAATGCACTCACCAAACATCGCCAAACAGTCAGGCTGGATGCCGCTCCTGAGCCAGCTACGCGCAATTCCTCAGTATAGCAACTCTTGTCATATGTATAATTGCACTGCGACGATGCTGAACAAAGAGACACGAAAATGGAGAATTTTCCTGCCGGCAAGACTCATGACAACAAAGTTCTTTGAAGTCCAACTTCATGGACTCAAAAGCATAACGCAAGGATTCCTAAGGTGTCGGACTGAAACAAGGCAATATACTCTGGGCAAAAAGTGAATGCCGAATGCCTGGAATGCAAGCTGTCCAAGATCCAGAATCAACTGTCATGATCTGTTCGAAGGACATGTTTCAACTCTAGCTCCCCAACATGGAAGGACTTTTTGCGTGCGATTATTTCTCACATACTTTAAGTGCAGACCAGATTCAGGGTCTTGCAAAACAACGACTAGTAATTCACAATCTCTACTCATCATCTATCATCTCATAATTTTTGACCAGAAATCAATGCTGTGACCCATTTCTCATTGTGAGACATGACAATGCTATGACCACGCCATGAGGACCCCATGACAGCGCGATGATCTGCCAAAGGTCGATTGGCAGCAAGTCCAAGGCAAGTCGACCCTGGTTGTCACGTGCTCCAACATCAGCAGCAGCGTCGAGGAGCTCCGCCACGCAGCCGTTGGCTGGGCAAGATTCGCGACAGGATGTGACAGTGCACGGAGTCCACGACACGGATCTTGTGGATTTTGTGGATTTTGAAGATTTTGTAAGGCTTGGGACTACTTCCGAATCTGTTTCGAATCTTACTTCGAGATGAATTTGACACGCGCAGATGGCTGGCAGATACTGCATGATACTGCTAGATTTCTGGAAAGTGTCTAGTCGCTTGTTCCACATAACTGTCGCACGGTTCCCCCGCCTAGGAATGCAGCCCAATGTAGAGGGGTGAGTCCATGGAAATCTTGATCGCTTGGATTTGCCTGGGGCTCCACGCCAAACCAGGGTCAAATCCAACACATTCCAACACTAAACCAGCAGGCTCAAAGCCGCCACCGCAAGATTATATTGATTATATTTGATTATAGTATATCAATGTATATCATATCTCAAAAAAAATAGTCGCTTCCGGTAAGCCTCCGTGGCCAACCTCTTTATCTCAGCAGTCAAGGCACATTTGCCCTGAGCAGTGCTTTTGCAGACTTTGTGCTGCCAGAAACCACCGCATGGTGCAGGGGACGCCTGTAGGGAAACAGGTGGAGAAGGTCCGTCGTTGACTTCAATGCGTTCATATACTGTATACATACTGTATCATCTGTATACACTGTAGGCATCTGTAGGCATCTGTAGGCACTTTATATTGAGATGGAGACCAAGGATTCATTTTTTTTGGAGATCCTTCGTCTGTCAGAGGTGCTTCCTGTCCCCTGTCCAAACGCAGCTAGTTGGCCACCCATCCATCAAAGTGCTCATGAACGCGGAACTCCTGTGACAAGCCAAATCTCAAGTGAGCAATGCATGATGAGTAGGTCAACCCAGGTCGTATGAGTCATAAAAACACCAGAAATCACCGAACATGCTCTTCCTGTTGCAACTCACTTTACTCAACTTTAGTGGAAAAAAGTGCATACAAAACATCCCACAGCATCCCACAGCGGCTCGGCACAAGAGTGTCAACCCCACATCCAAAGTCCTCAGAGCTTGGCTGAGATTCTCTGCAAGGCCCTGAGCACTGGCAGGACTGCCCAAGCTCAGGCGATCTCACATACTGTACAGATCTGTACAGAATATGCACATACATTGACATCTATTGACATGATGTGTCGATAAGTTCATACATGTTCAAGAATGTTCTTCATCTTGCTGTATCACGTAAAAATGCCTCCATGCTGTCAACCATGACATGCCATCAAAGTCATCTTTGACGTCATGACAGTCATGGCATGCTATCTAGAGTACCCAGTGCAACCCAGTGCAAGAGAGTCAGGCCTCCGGATCACTGCCTTGCCCAAGTTCTACCACTGGAGGAGGTCTTGCGCAGTCGATACCTGCATCTCGCCAATTCGAAACAGGAACAAAATATGGAGAACATAGAAAAACAACGTATATAGAAAAACGCAAGGCAAACCTAAAAACAACGTTTTAAAAAGTTGCACATGTTTGGCACATGTTGCTCATGTGTTACTCATGTTACTGTACGAACTTTGTCAAAGCCAAGTCGCAGAGGTCGTGATCACATGGCAAACAAGTCCAGTAGATCGGCTGATTCTGCAAATCCTGCTTCCTACAAAGATCACAATGCGGTCTTCGGTGACAGCGTTCTTTGCAAAGCCTCTCCAAATGAAGCAGCCAAAAGCACTCAGACTGCTCAGACTCATCAATTTGTGGCACGACATGCACTGCGGTAAGCTTGTAAGTCAGAATTGTTGTATATGCTATTGCCAATTGTTGCCAGGTGCCAGGCCAGCATGACAAGCACGCTGAAATCTGCACGTTTCCCACTACCCTTCCTGGCCTTTCCATAGGATGCAATCTGGGGCAAAGCACACCCGGTGGAAGGGGTAAAGATGCACCTTTTGGCTCAAATGAAACCATCTGAAACCATCTGAAACCATCTGAAACCATCTGAAACCATCTGAAACCATCTGAGATCATCTGAGATCATCTGAGTCCAAGTGCTCTATCAATCGGCCAAGGCACCCTCAACCGTCATCAGCATTTGATCGATGACCTTCCACTCCTGCACGTAATGCAAACATGTTCAATATGTTCCAGGATTCAAGCTTTAAAATCTGAAGGACATATCCTAGAGATAGCAGCATATCAGGCATATCAATCTCAGCATTCCAGATTTGCTTGTGAGCAATGTCTCCGTGAGCTTGGCACTCCTGATTCTGACTCCCCACAAAGCAGGTAGATGACTGTGGCCCTCGCGCAAGACCGACCTTCCATGGCATGTTGGTCCGATCTCTTATTGATGGTCAGCTGCAGATAAAGCCGAGACATGCAAAGACGTCAATCATTGTCAAATGGTGTTGATATCTAAGTACCTATGTACCTTTGTGGCCTTTGTGGCCTTTGTGCATGCTCAGTCTGCACGACGTGGACTGTCATGACTGGACCCTTTCACCTCAGCACCGGCGGCCACCAGCAGCTCTATCAACTCTGCATCATCTATTGCAGCAGCCAGCATCAGTGCACCTTGGGCACATATTTGGGCAGTTTTGTGCATATGCCATGAGAAGTCCATCAGTCTGAGAATCAAAACTCTTGCGCGAATGAAAAGCATGCATGCCACCAGGGACACGCCAAAAGTGCAGCAGCCCAAATCAGAATTCCAAATGCATGCCAAAGGCACTCACACCGTCACTTCTCACAACATTTGGTGAGGCACCCAATTTCAGCAACATGCGAGCCGTTTCTGCCTGCCATTGCAAGAAGCAGTCAAGCACGGGGTGTCTTGCAGTCTCAAGTGGCGTCGGATCCAAAAAGACTGTGGGACCTCTGTGAAAGCTTGAGTTGCAATGCTTGCTATTGGCAATCAATTTGGCAGTCAATGATTGAATCAACAAAGAAGCTTAACAAAGAAGCTTAACAAAGAAGCTTCAGCCCAAAGCAGAATATTCATGTGACCAAGCGCGGCAGAACACGCTTGCCTGGGGACCCAAGAGGTTGTCTTTTGTGCGCGGTGTGAAGCACTTCTGTAAGGACACTAGCAGTGGCGGATTGCCGCTTGATCCAACCTCAGATATCCCGATATCCCTGCATGCTGCACCGGTGACAAACACTGAAGCCATACTCCAGTGAGACTCTTGCAACACGGTAGGTGGGCAGTATGATTTTGCAAAGACTGAACTGCAGTCTGCCAAAGCATGCACATGTACAACTTTGAGCTTTCTTCAGAACCACAGGATTGACTGGAAACATAGCCGTGACAAAGCCATCTTGGCATGGCGATAAAGCCAGCAACACGGCCAAGCAAAAGTGTGGGAATGGATATGATGTGCGCACAAGAGAATAAATGTGAATGAGGAAGTTTATGGAAGTTTCTAATGTTTCTGGGACCAATCAGGATCCAGACAAAGTATACGCCCCTTGTAGCGCATCGAACCCCAGATCGTTCCAAATCGATCCAAATCGATCCATCCAATTTTCATCCAATTCATCGGAGCCGCGGCATTCAGATCCGCCCCATGTTGCGCCAGCTGATTCACCACAGCAGAGGCTCCGGAGCCAGCAGCTGCATCCATGGCAGCAGGTGTCAAGGCGCCTCAGAGCAGGTGCAGTGCAACTTGGTGACATGCTGTAAGCTGCTGCATAATGTTTGACACATTAAACCAATGAAAACCAATGTTTCACAAATACTACGGGAGATTACTTTCCAAAAAGCTTGGAAAGTCCATCATCAGCACAACAACCTTGCACTTCACGACTCACCAGAAGTTCGCAGCGGCAACACCCAGCAAATAGAAATTCAACCATAATGAGAATGTTGGAGGGGCAATCACTGGGTCTGCGTACGGCGTGAAGGTCAACAAAACAAGGACAGATTGAGCCTGATTGAGCTGCTCCCTCTGAAATTATATAACTTATAACCCTTTTGTGTACAACCTCACAGCTTTGTTGTAGCCAGGAAGCACTTTGCGTCCAACAGCAAACTTACTATGTCGCTATACGCGGCAGCACTGCCGGGAGGGCCTGCAAGAATTCTACACGGCACTCTGGCTCTGATGGCACAACGCTTTTGCACAATGATTAATGATGATGTGTTATCGATGTTTGCCTTGTTCCGGTGCTTTTGAATCTTTTAAAATGTGGAAGTTTGCGAGGCCTGTTTTTCCCTCTACGGTGTGAGTACCGCAACCAGCCGCTAGTTCCAAGGGCGAGTTGGCACTGTCTGTGTCCACAAGGGCACCGGCTTCCAGCAGCTCCTAAATTCACAAGGAAAACTTCCGGAGGCAACAATGACAGGTATGGGAAAAAAGAAATAGAAAAAAAACACCTAAATTGGACCTAAATAGTGAAAACTCCAATAGGACAGGCATGCCCATCTGCTCTCAACACAACTCGCCAGTTTGAGGCTTGCCCTCAGGTGCTGCACATTTGGCATTCCCTTTGCTGTTTCAAAGCAGGGGAGCTTGTCCTGTACCACTTTCACGTGCCCTGCATGACACGCCAAGTGCAAAGCTGTATAGCCAGCCATGTCTGTGGCATGCACTTCAGCACCAACCTCCTCAGGCTGCGGACAATGAGTCAATTATCCGGTTTTCAGGAGCACAGTTAGCACAGTTACATTCAGAGCAAAGACAGAGCTCAGAGCTCTTCATCAATTGTCATCAATCTCAATACATTCCTCTCGTGTCCTCTCTTGTCCTCTCTCGTCCGTTGCACAGTGTCAACTGCCGCACCTTGAGCACCCGAAGAACGCCCAGATCTCCTAAAGCAGCTGCCAAATGCAACGCCGTTTGCCCTGTAGAGGGCAGCCGTGCACCAAGGTCTGCTTTGAGCCTCGGCATCTTGACACAATGTCCCAAGACATCCCAAGATGTCCCAAATAGCCCACACTTGCAATCAGTTGACACATCGATGCAGGTCTTAAATTCACATTGGCGTTTAGCATTGGCATCCAGAACAGCTCAGGGTAACAACAATCCAAAAACAAGCCATCTGTCGCATCGGTGTCTAGAAAGTCCTTTTCCACTTTGCCATGCCTGAAAGCTCTTTGGGTCCCCGGCTGTAGCAGTTTTTCCACCACACCTCCCAGACCCAGCTGCGCTGCCAGCAACAGAGGCGTTGCAGCCTGGTCAGAAAGGAAAGGACACTGTTCAGAGGTTCACAAAGGCTAGTCTAAAAGAAGACAATACAATAAAAATAAACTAAATATAGTTGAATTAATATAATAGTTATAATAGGGCAATGAACTTTGCAATCCCGTTGATGAGATTTGGTACATGGATCCATGGAGGATCTGCTCCCCATGTTTCAGCAGCTGGTTGCCTGGCCAGCCCTGGCGATCCACTCCACCTTGGGTGGAGGCATCTGCGCCATGCCATCTGCCTGGCACAATGTGAAGCACAATGTGAAATGGATGCCAGTTCAATGCAGCTCCAAAAAGGTCACTGATTCATACTTCAACAGTCAACACACAGCTCAAACGTGTTCCTTCGATATGAAAATTGTGAAAATGCGAATGTCAAGAATCTCCTCTGAGAGCAGAGATTCACCCAGTGCTCTTGCAGCCTCATGGCGAGCATGATCAATGGTCCATTGTCCCACCGGAGGTTCCGCTGTCTCTTCATGTGGGGCTGGCATTGAGTAGAGGAAGCGTTCCTGCCCAGCAGAATTCATTTGCCAATCCCTTTTTGTTGAGCAACGGAGCTATAGACTGCATTTCTCGAAGTGGCAACAAAGTCACAACTGCATACACTTCCAATCCTTTGGGGCAGGTCCAAATGATTTGTTACCCATTTGCGACATTTTCTACTTTTTTGCGCATCCTATGCCTTCAAGCTGCAAAATCCGCCCGCACCGAAGGTGCTGGGGCGTGATCGTCCGGATGGCACTCGTAAAAGGTTACAGGTTTACCTGGGGGGGGGGGCCCATTATTCGGCCAAAACCTCCTGTTTTTGATAGGTCGTGACGCTCGCCTTCAAAAAACACTGTAAAAAACAGTACGGAAGACACCTGTTCGTGAACGCGCCCGTCCAAAATCGGCAAGCGAAAAGTGAAAAAAACCCGTGTTTTTCAACTTTTTGACCTCAATTTTTTGGTTTGCAACATCTTTTTTTGCGGTTCCGCAGGTGGCCTGGCCCGGAGGCGGATTTTTGAGTTTTTGGACCCGTTTTCGGACTGATTTTCGTCGTTTTGTGATAGCAGAAACACTGGTTTTTACAGTGTTTTTCTGTTTTCTGCATGCTTGACGGCTAGCTTCAAAACTTCCAAAAACCTCGTAAATTACGCTGTTTTATGTTACGGTGTGAATGAAAACATCGTAAATACCAGTGTTTTTTGACGTTGGTTAAAAAAACACTGTAAATTACAGTGTTTTTGGCCACCTGACCCTCAAAAACCATGGTATTTGCAGTGGTTTCTGCTTCTCACCGCGCAAAAACACTGTAAATAACAGCAATTTCGCCGTTTTTTCATGTTTTTCGTTATTTTTTGAACTGCGTTGGTCCGCTATACATGGCTATCAAATTCTTCGCGTTTTTTTTCCGACAATCAGTACTTTCGGATGTTTTTGGTCTCAATGGCCGACATCATTGGCAGTTACGAGCGGTCGCGAAGGTGTGAGAACAACATCGTTCAAACCGTGGCGGCCGCACAGGGGTTCTTGTCGCGGAGCGACGGCAATAGAAGAGAACAATGGCAGTAGAAGAGAACAATGGCTGACATCATTAACAGTGTGGACCGTTCACTCGATATGTACATATATGATCTTTTATATATATATAGATATATCTCTGCTGTGTGAGCCCAACGATGCGGTGCGGGCGGTTGCCGTCGCGAAGCGACGTGAATACACAGAGCACTGAGCAGAAGACAAGCAAAAGTTAAAGGATGGAAACCCCACATGTGAAGCCTGCCTCTAGTTGCAAAAGAAAATGAGAGCTGTGCGAAGAAGCAGATAGAATCAGGCAAAGATTGTTAGAATGCAAGGAGAGCAACAGCAAGAGATCCAGAAAGACAGATAGATAGATTGGGATAAAAACAGATAGACAGATAGAAAGGGACAAAGACAGATGGAGATAGAGATAGAGATGGAGATAGATATAGGGATAGGGATACGGATCGAAATAGAGATTGACGAAATAGATATAGACAAGATAAAGACGGAGATAGAGATAGAGATAGGGTGGAGTGGAAAGAAGTTTGACAAGAATCACCAAGGGCCAGTCTGGTTGCCCAGAAGCATCATAATGGCAATTCTGCACATACTTTGTCAAAGGCCCCCACCCACCGCTTAATTTGAACACTGATTTAGTTACTTTGGTCTACAAGTCCACAAGCCACAAGTGACAAGTGCAGCCTGTCCCTGAATCTACTGTTGGAAATCCTTACGATCTGAGACTTTCCTCACAATACTTGATAGACGATCAGATAGTCTCTCAAACACTTTTGATATCAATCTCAGCAAATGGAAACAAGCGAAAATGGTGTATTGCCATGCAATTCAAACCACCTCATTTTTTCAACAATTTGTCGCTCAGAAATGGTTGCTCTTCCTATTTCCACTGCATCCCGTCCCCCTGCACTCCTGATCCGTCTGCTCATCAGATTCCCCCATGGTTTCCCGAGAGAGGCCAATCTTCCACCAACCTTTGCAGTACCTGAAAGCTGTGAAAGCTGGAGCGACTCCGACTCCGAGCGATTGCCATGTGTTCGAGATGGTTCGAGCATAAACCGGATTGATGCCAAATCACAAGAATCAGATCTCGTCACATATGTTTAATATTGTTTAATTATGTTTCGATTTCTTAAACACGAGATGACACTCGGATCATGGTAGAAACAGACCCGGTTGCAGTCAAGATGCATGACTGCACCGAAGAGATTCTGATAGAGTGGGCGACCGCGAAACTCACCAACCTCTCAAGGTTGTCGTAAACCCTGGGAAATCATATCCTTTTCCCCAAGAAAAGGAAAGACGAAGGCAGAATTTTCTCACAAAGGAACGTGTGGAACAAAGGCAAGGTGTGCTTTGAGGCTTTGATCCCTCTCTGCCTGCTGATATGGCCCATTCACCTTCTCACAGCCAGCCTGACATGAAGAGCGATAGCAACTGAGTTTGCAGGAGACAAGTATATTACCAAGTACATAGTATCTTCTTTCTCATTTGCATCACATCTGTTTTGATCTCACTGACTTTTGAATCTGCTTAAGATGCTTAAGGATCTTTTCACCATGGCAGGACAACAAATTAACAACACGATCAAAAGGATTCCCAAAGGCCAGACAGATTTGTTCATCCGACATGTCGTGCATTTCAAAGCGACACTGGAAGAAACTGAGCGAAACCATTCCCACGCAGCCCGTGCCTTGGAGACCAAGAGCCCAGAGTGCGCCGTCCGAACCTCGAGGTTCGCCTTGTGGGCTACAAGCATCTCGATGATCTCCTCGGCAGCCCAGATTAGGAATCGATTCCATGTTCAATCAGAATTCTGTATATACAGTTCTGTTCCATGTTCAAACACATGAATCGATTTCTATTTGATTGCGCCACAATAGCTAAACCAGCTAAACGTTGATGAAAGCAATGAAAGCAGAATGTTCAAACATGTTCAAACCATTCATTACCTCATTCTGCTTCAATCGATTGAGGGCCTCAGGAATCGATCTGCCAAGGTTCCATGTCGCCTGCCTGGACTGCTGTGACAACGCCTGTGAAGTCCATGCCTTCGCAAACTTTGGAAGAAACCGAGAATGCGCTTGACGTTTCAGAAAAATTCAGAAAACTACCCGAGAAAATGACAAAGTAGTCTGAGTCTAATCAAAAGGCTTCCTTCGTTCCCTTCGAAACTCAACTCTTAAGCTTCCCAGTTCTCCATCAAGACCATTGCAGCATAGAAACAGTTACGCTCATTCGCAATGTCTGGAATCTCCAAGATTGCTTCAACCTGAAGTCTCCACTACTTCTGCAAGAAGATCTGCGGGATCAATCTGCATGTATATAAATTATTTAATGAAAATCGCATGCACCCTGTCCACATCTCACTTGCCAGATCTGTCTGAAATAAGGTTGAGAATGTTTGAGGTGTTGCTGCAATTACGAATCAAATGATTCTTTCTTCTGGCAGCCTCGCAATTTTGACACAAAATGGAACATAAGATTTGTTGTTTACCCAAGTTACACAGGGCAGGTGGTGTCTTTCAATTGCAGCTCCTGTTCAGGGATCGTCTCAACAGCATGTGAAGGGACCGTGCATACAAGACCAAGCTCATCAGGCCCTGTCGGTCCTAGTGCATCAGCACAAAGGGCAGAGCCGTGTGAATCTTGCCACCCTGCCGTACTCAGCAGACGCCTTCGGCCAATGTGCTTAGCGCAAGACATCTGGAAGCATTCTGTTCACATTCACAGCATTCACAGCATTCACACTAGTTGGATCTAGTTGGCCTGGATGGATGGATCCTACAGATCGTTGTCAAAGGGTGCACCAGATAAAGGATGATAAAGACGATAAAGGGAGACACTTGATTATATTGACCAATATCCATGACAGCGACTGCATGTGCCTTTCCACACAGTAAAAGCTCGAAGCAAAAGGACGCAAGAGAACAGAAAAGATGGACAAAAAGATGAACAAAAGGCATCAAAAACATTCAAAAACAAGTGCCAATCAGCATTGCAAATCCAGGGCCAGGGCAACGAAACTCCAAGGGCAAGTCTTATCGACTCCCCACCTGACGACTGGAACATGTCCTTGCCCAGCTGCCAGCTGTAGAGCACTTGTGCCAGGGCCAAAGCCAGCCTTGCAGGAGACAGGATGCATTCTGGACCGAAGCTCCCACTCTGAGCAGAGCTGGTGGTTGCTTGTCCCAAGTTACATGCTGTTACTAAGGACTTGCTTGATCTTGTTCGTATGTCTTCAAAGCCATCAGGACTTGCCAAGGAACAGAGGTGGTCTTCAAGGGGTCAGCACCCTTTGCCAGCAACTCCTCCACTACATCCTGCATCAACTCATGTCTTGGGGAGAAGCACATTGAACAAGTTGAAGTCAAGGTATGTCAAGGCAAAGTATAGTATAGCAAGTACAGCAAGTATAGCAAGTATAGCTGTGAGCTGTGGCAACTGTGGCAACTGTGGCAACTGTGGCAACTGTGGCAACTGTGGCAACATGCTCTTTGCATCTCTTTGCATCTCTTTGCATCTCTTTGCATCTCTTTGCATCTCTTTGCATTGCTGCCGCGCGTCCTCCAAGCCAAGCTCGCTGGCCATCATTAACAATGTCCCACTTTTCCTGATCGGCAATGGGTCGAACTTCGATTGGAAATGCCCAGCTTCGGCAGAGCACGGACGAGTCATTTTATTCTTCCGCCACGTTGAGATTCTTAGAGATGTGTCTATGGCCCCTTGTACCAATAAGTCACCAGCTATAATATTATATATATAACAAGTTTAGACTCGAATGAATACAAAGTGGAAACTACTGAACATAAAAGTCGCACGCAAAATCATCCTTCTTTACTAAATGGTCGTGCGGCTGATAATTGCCACATAGGCTTGCAGTTTTTTAGTTTGTTCGCGATTTCGCCCCCAAAAATGTGAGGTTTCGCAGAAGCTAAAAACTGCTCAGTATAGCCGGGCATCGTGTTCGGAAGTGGCGTATCAGGGCCATCAAACTTCGGCACCTTCAGCAATTCAACAGCACCTGCGCTGAACGGAAGAAGTGAAGAGAAGTAAAACTGCGTGCAATCTCACACAATCCAACGCAATTCCAGTCATCCCAGCAGCTCAACTGCAGATCCACCATTTAGAGTTCATTTATATTGCCATTTAGGGCACATGTTGAACCGATATGTGCACACGACATGAACAAATGACTGCCTGCCGCGCGGAATTGGTCCAAGAAGTTTCGCAGGCGTCGCAGGCCACCCTCTTGACGGCGCTCAACGACGTCCCACACTTCCGTTGCCACTTCACTAATGCGGCCCTGAACCTCTCATCTTTGATCTCTGGGTGTCAAAACATGCCAAAACCGTGTCAACATTCAGTGACCGCTGCTGCCGACCTTGCACACTTCATCCCAGAGTGATGCAAAACAAAAAACTCCAAATCCTTCAAGGCACCTCATCTTGAAAGAATCGAATCACCTGCGTCTCTAACCTTGCCATTGGGAAGGTCCGGTCAGACATGGGGTCATGCTAGCCTTCAGAATGTGACATCAATATCTTGCCACTTGATCAAAGCATTGATGGGAATGAGTTTGCTAGCAGTCCACTGAAACAACAAAACGTCATAAAAATATTACGAGATAACGAGGTATCTCCGTATCTCCAGTGTGAAACGTCATGACAATTCTGACCAGGTTTCGGCAAGAGACATACGATTCACGTGTAGCTCGAAGCCCTCGACAGACTGAGCTCCTTTGCCGTCCTCGTCCTGGTCAGGCCAAAGGGCAATACAAGCTGCATCAAGCTGCATCAAGCTGCATCAAGCTGCATCCTATTTCATATCTATATACAGAGAGAGAGAGAGGTAGTAGATAGGTGCAATATGTGTATATTATATGATTGTAAGTTTATGTACGTATGATCCTTATATATAATGTCTACATATACATATATATATGTGTGTGTATTGTAGACTATATATATATAGCTCAAGCTGTGCATTGTCTCTTCAATCCTATTATTAAATTATGGGTTGCTGAGACCAAGTGCTGAAAAATATCCTACAAGACAGCAGTAAGGCAGCAAAGTTAGTGAAGTTCCCAAATTCGAAGTTCACCAACTACTCCAACTAGGAATCTAGTCTAGGACTTTTCCAGAGATTTACCAAACACAATCATCACTGAATCATCACTGTGGAAAATACTTCCCAGGCCCAGGACATGCCTGCAGCGAGGCCTGGAAAAGTGGCACCGCTGTTCGGATCGCAGGCCTGCGCGCCACTGAACCCTCTCCCTATCGGCCCTACCTGCCACCGCAGACATTTTCATGGTTAGCAAGAATACTGGCCATCTTTATGGAACGTTCCCCAAACAAAACAAAATTGGAGTTCCAGCCATGATTTAAAATTTAAGTTGGTACTGATATCTAGCATTTCGATAGTGAATTGTGATCAAACCGCAAATGTCACTGTCTCTGCACTATTGCCACGAATGTTGAGGCAGTGCTAACATACAAGCGACCAAAGAGAAATACTTTTTGTGGTCTGCTTGGAATGTTGGCGAACAGAGTTCAATCAGGGAGCCTAAGGAGATCTAAGGAGTATTGTATTGTATTGTCCCCACACATACGCTGGCAATAGTCTCACTGGACCGCTGAAGCTTCATCCTTGGAGATTAAACTTCCCTTTCTCGCGCCCCAGGAAGTGTCAGCAAGGGCACGGAATCACTGAAGCATGTCTCAGCAGTTTACCCTAAGTCTTACTATGTCTTACTAATACAACCTTCACCCAACAAGCCAACCATATCGCCTCGACTTCTGAGCACGGTCCTGAATCAAGGCAGGCTACCTACAGCCGCAGATTCACATGGACGCGGTCTACAGGATCAAAACCATGGGGCAGTCCTTGTAGTGCAACAGTCGTACCCGGCAAATTGGACAGCTATCATTCTCGAGAAGCCACACTTGGATGTGATGCTTGCAATAGCTGTGTCCTCAGAGATGTCAAATTCTTTCAAGCTTTCAAGCGCAACTTGTGTGCTGCCACGGATTCGGAGGTGCTGTCAAGCAACCACAGGGTAATGTCACTGGGGAGACCACCAAGTCAAAACAAATGTTGCACTTCAGCTCCTGGCTATGCTCGCAAGCATATAGAGATTCACAAATAAGTGCAGAGATGTGCAGGGATATTCCAGAAACAGAGTCAGAATCCCACAGTCACATAATCGAAAATCAGAAAATCTTAAGCTTCAGTTCTGCATGATTCGAAATGATCCTGATTGGTTGGCAACTTCTCAACGGTCTCAACTACCTGTTCAGGCCCGCCTCCCTGTGCGTCTGGGAGCGAAGCAATTGTGGCACTACCGACTTGGAATCGCAGTTCAGCTCATGCCGTGCGCCGGCCATGAGTTTTTTCATCCTTGGATTTCAGTTGGCGTCGAATAGCATCAATCAAACTTTCTGTGACAATGTTGCAGCCGTTGCATGTCTGACAGTGCAGTTTTGCAGGATTTGTTTGATGTGACTGTCTATCCTGGCATAGGAGCTTGGGAACTTGACCCTTCATGGGAGGGATGTGACTAGTGCAAAGGATACAGTGAACTTCGAAACGCTGAATTGATATGAGATCTGGATCACGGATCTTGATCTTGCCCAGTGATTTACAGTATCTAGCCAGCAGCCAGCTCCCGAAACACGTCATATTTCCGTCATGGGAGCCTTCTGATCTGCGCATCCATGGCAATGTCCAAATTCAGTTGCTGTCCTGACCATGATTTTCAAGCGTGCTGGCTCAGGCTCAACTGTCAGCTTTTATAAACTGCCTTTAAACTTATGTGTTTCGATCTTGCTTCCTGAAGGAAAAGGGCGGTCACACACGGGACAGTTTGGCCGCAAAGTCATCGGCAGGTTTTCCTGAGCGAGCGCGCAGCGTGGCGCAAACCCCAACAGCAAAAAACACAACTTTTGTCTAGCTTATGGTCCTCTGGTTCAAGATGAACCTAACAGAATCCTGGCAAAGGATGGGAACCAACCGCAAAACCTGGTCAAACATCACTCATCAGTGCAGTTTTTGCCCTCTTTGCTCCTCATGACTGACTCTGTGAGCTCCTCCATGTTCAAATGCGCAGACACTCCTTGACAAAAATATCTTCACCAAGTTTCTGTGTCAAGATCCTGCAGTGCCGCATTCCAGATCTTCTCTTCAGACATGAAAAACCTGCACGGGCTGAAGCCCGAGGTTGACAGGTTGTGCAGGTGACCTGTGGGTCTGAAACTGAGGCCTGTCACAGGCCAAGGTTGCAACAGGCACTTCAAGTCAAGTCCAGATTCACCGAAATCCTACCGCGACTGCGACTTGACAAATTTCAGCCATGTCTCAGGGGCAGCCAAGGAGCACATCCACCTTGCCATCCAAATGAACTCGCTGGACCACTCCTCGAGAATCAAAAATGTGAGGAATTTGTGCAAAGGCAAAGGTCCAATCCGTGTGCATCCCTAGATGCCTAACGATCCAGTCCAAAATCAGAGCAAGGAGCACTGGGAAAATTCAAAGGGAAGTGGGATAAAACGCCTCGTGGAAGAAATGAACAGCCGTAGGCACAACCAAAACCACTGCCGATACTGCCGATATCGCAAGACTCCTACATCGTAGCTCTGGATGCGGCCCCAGCTGTACAAAGGATCTCGACCACCAGGCGGATTTACTCGTACCCGAACTCCTTGAGATGTCCCAGAATCCCCGAAGCTCTAAAAATGTGTGGAAACCCTGCAAAAATAGTAAAACATAATAACATATTATATATATATATACATACATATATATATATATACACATACACATACACACATACACACATACACACATACACACATACACACATACACACATACACACATACACACATACACACATACACATATACATATACATATACATATACATATACATATACATACACATACACATACACATACACATACACATATATATATATATCCATATATATATAATATATATAATATATAAGTGCAAGCCTTTGTGAGGTTGGTCCAGGTTGGTGAGAGTCAACAGAGGTTTTCGAAACCGTTCTGCATTGGAGCAAACTTGTCCTGGCTGGATTCGCTCTGCTGCAGGGGATGGCTCAAGCATGGTAGCACTCACTGATGGCATTGCGAGAGCTTTTGGAAGACATACATAGTACCTGTCAGGGCCAACGGTTGTAGAGATGTGTTGCTATTAGTGGAAGAAAGATTGTGAAGAATTCCCTCCCACCCACATTTCTGCGCATAGCTTTGCTCAAAATATCAAACCATGTAACCCATGTGCCGTTGACCATCGTGGAGTCGGGTATCATGCGCAAAGACAAATTGTAAGATTGGTTTGGTGCTGATACCGAGTTCGCTTCAGAAATGTCAAAGCCAACATCAACATTTACAAACATCTTCCCACAAAATGGTTGGAGCACTGCAAGTCACGAGAACCATCTTCTTGGATTTGGTAGACTTGATCATTAATAACTCCTGGGAAAGATGAGGAGCGCAGCTTGCGCCATCAAAACGTTCCACCAAATGTCAAATATTGTCAAATAATGCTGAAATTGTCAGTGACAGGATTGCCATCAAATACAATCAGACTATCAGACTATCAAATCTCCGACAAAAATGACTTCAATGATTGACTTTACCAGCATTCTTGGGGCTCACCCTGAGGTTGTGAACACAGTTCCTATGCTGACAAGATCAATGGAATTGGGCAGCACAGACCTGCGCCAGGAGCTGAGGAAGTGTGGCAACACACCGAAAGATCCCCAGCGAGTTGTGTGTGTCAGGGTGACGTCACCGAGATGCGGTTTAAGTTTTAATTGTTTTAATATGTTTCAATTCCATCACAAAATACATAAAATGCATAAAATGCATCATAATAAATTCCCTGCCTGGCGTTTTCTTTGAAGCGCACACGACTACCCCTCGCATAGTCACCCACCCAGCTGCTGGGTCTTTCCAGGTTGGCTTCTCGCATTGGATCTTGCGCCATGCCTGTCTTTTGATCAAGAGATGCTGATTGGCTGCATCAAAACCGCGCTTAAATTGCGCAAATCTGTGATATTTTTGCAGAGCTTCTGAACTAGCTGATCCTTTGAAGACAAAGTTCCTACAGATTTGTGTGCGCGATTCAGCGCTGACCTTCCTCCACTGTAGCTTGGAGGCCGGAAGCTTTAAGCCTCGGTGGAGTGAGACGAATAGTCCAAGGCTGCCCACGCTGCCGCAACACTTTAGAATGTTGCTGAAAACGTGCAGAAAATAGCCGAAGGAAGTTTAGAAGTCAAACTTCCGACAATGTGGACAGATGAAAAGCAGAGGTGGTAAGAGTCAGAGAAGAGAAGAGAAGAGAAGAGAAGATCAAAAAAGAAGAGAAGATCAAAAAAGAAGAGAAGATCAAAAAAGAAGAGAAGATCAAAAAAGAAGAGAAGGTCAAAAAAGAAGAGAAGATCAAAAAAGAAGAGAAGATCAAAAAAGAAGAGAAGATCAAAAAAGAAGAGAAGATCAAAAAAGAAGAGAAGATCAAAAAAGAAGATAAGATCAAAAAAAGATAAGATCAAAAAAGATAAGATCAAAAAGAGAAGATAAGATCAAAAAGAGAGAAAGTCTCAGAAGAAAGAAGATCCAGGTGCCCGAAAAGGTAGGAAAGTCGCGAAACACTTTGTTTTTCCAATGATTTGTGGCTCCGGAGGGTCGAAAAATAGGCTCGCTAAAGCTGGGCAGATGAGAGATGAAAAATTGCACGCCGTTGTGGCGCGAAGCACGTTTCGCGTTTCGAAATCAAAATGTACAAAACACAGCATGTTCGGACCTTTTGGAAGTTGAGATGTCGAAAAAGTGCACGCCGTTGTGGGGCGATGCACGTTTCGAAGTCAAAATGTGAAAAACACCACATGCTCGGACCACTTTTCGACGTTCAGGTTCAGATGTTTTTTCGCGTGGCAGGCGCACGGGATTGTGGACCTTGTCAAAAGTTAGCAAAACGTGAAGGTTTTGTAGCATTTCCAAAAAACGATGGCAGGCGTGGGACATTTGAAGAGGATCTGCAAAGATGCATTTTCCGTAGCAGGCGCAGTACAAGAGACATGTTCATCAGAGCTGTTAGGAGGTCCTGAGAGGGGTTGCATTTTGGAGCCTCAGATCTTCAGGTTTGCTGAGATGATTTTGCGTGATAGGTGCAGCACTTCGTATGACCTGGCATCACTGTTTCGTGGCAAGCGCAGTAGTTTAGACAGATGGACTGGAAAAATCGCAAAACGCATTGGTACGAGGCCGTCAGCTCTGCACTCAAGTTTCCATTTTTGTTGTCAACTTAAAAAATGAGGAAGTCTCGCAGAATTGCTTTGTTTTTGATGTTGTCAAGTGCAAAAATTGAGGAAGTCTCGCTGAATTGCTGCGTTTTTGATGTTGTCAAGTTTAAAAACTGAGGAAGTCTCGCAGAATAGCTTCGCTTTCAAGCTTGCAGATACATAGATAGATAGATAGATAGATAGATAGATAGACAGATAGATAGACAGATAGATAGACAGAGAGAGAGAGAGATAGATAGATTGATTGATTGATCGATCGATCGATAGATGGATGGATAGATGGATAAATGGATAGATGGATAGATGGATAGATGGAAAGATAGATGGATAGATGGAAGATGGAAAGATGGAAAGATGGAAAGATGGAAAGATGGAAGGATGGAAAGATAGATGGATAGATGGATAGATGGATTGATCGATAGATAGATGGATAGATAGAAAGAGAGAAAGATAGAAAGATAGAAAGATAGAAAGATAGAAAGATAGAAAGAAAGATAGATAGATAGATAGACAGATAGACAGATAGTCAGATAGACAGAAAGACAGATAGACAGATAGACAGATAGGTAGGTAGGTAGATAGTCAGAGAACGAGAAAGAAAGAGAGAGAAAAGAGAGAGAAAGAGAGAGAAAGAGAGGAGACCTCAACCACCTGTCGGTCCATCAGTGGATTCGCTCTGCCATCCGTGATTCACAACAACCAACCTCTCCTGTAGGTTTCCTATTTTTGAAACTTCCGCCACCGCCTTGTGCGGTACTACTGGTATAGAAAATATCGAAAATATCAATGATAGTGCAGTGAACAAGTAACAAAAATGATGCCCTGCCCGGCTCGGGAAGTCTTTGTCTACTACCACACCTGTTGGAGCTTTTCAAAATGCTGGGCCCAACACCTTTCAACTACCTTGGTGGCTTGTTCAAGATCTTGTTCACGGCAAAGGTCTGCGCAACCTTCACAAAATACGGATCAAAACCCTTTCAATTCCACCCCCCTCATCTAAAATCATCCGAGGATACTGCTGTAGTTTTCTTTTTCCATCTTGTCCGCTCTTATATCAACTTCAGCTTCTCTTCTTTGCTCCAAAAGGTGCTTGCAAACTCTACTCATCTTCTCTAAACTGCTCTTGTTGCCTGTTTCCTTAAACACTGGAAATGGACACAAAATGGACTCTTGAGATGTGTTGACAATGTTTCTTGAGGCATTTGGCCATATCAGGAATCCGATTCAAAACATTACATTGAAAGCAGGACCCAACAGAAGGTATGCCCGGTGCTCCCCAAGGTACAGGCTCCCATCATCTCTCATCCATTTGCGGATTGCAACCAGATCCTACTAGCCAAGTGAACAAAGCGAACATGAGTAGTTAGATTGGATCATAATCATTATAACATCTTGGTTTTCAAAAATGCAATTTCGGGCTAATTTAGCGTTTGACTCTTTGACCCATACCCTCATTACATCCATCCCACAAGATGGTGCCTTTCGGCAAAGTTGCACGCATCTGCGTAACCATGGCATCCTCGCCTGCCCAGCCTCTGCAGCGCAAAAATTCACCAACTTGATCTTTCACACATTTCACACCCACTCTCAAACTGTCAGAAACTGAGAATAAAATCTGTGGTTTTGTGAGTATAGTGCATTTCAACTATGGATCGGTGCTCCAGCCACTAAGAGACATAAGTTACAATCGGAAGTTCACCGATCCAAAAACACTGAGATCTTGAGAAAGCAAAGAAAGCAAATGTGATCTCCTGCTCCTGCCACAATACTGAGGTATACTGGCATGGAATGACAACGCAGTGTATAGATCTGTACAGGGAGTTGAAATTATTGGAATACTTCAGGAGGAAAGAAGTTTATGCTTCTTGAAAGCTTTACAAGACATCCGTCTCGGTCAACCGCGGATCACATTTCCAAGTCCGTTTTGTGTGGAAGGTGTGGGAGGTGTGGGACGGTCAATTGTCACCCTCTTTTCAATCTATAGGATTTTAAGCTTTTGGAGGGTGGAAATCCGACCGGGGAACGACAGAGCTCCATGCTAGGATTCTTAGCGAAAAGGGTGTGCAGAAGAAACCAAACATGTTCACTGTCGGAAACTCAACAAGCGCAACTTGCGTCCTACCAGGGTATATTGAAATGTTTGAACTATGTTTGAACTAGTTGTGGATATCTTACGTAACTTTGATATGTTGAAAATTAGTTGAAAATGGTTCAAATATGAGGTTTTGACATGTTTTGACATGTTTTGACTGCGTCTTGCCTCGCTGTGGCCAGGCCCAGCCCTCCCGTGCAGGCGCAATTGCTGGGATGATCAGCGACCGCAGCTGGTCTTGATACACCATATCCACCTAGCGCCATGTATGGTCCCAGACATCGTTGTGTTCAGCGAATTTCCAGATCAAATCATTCCAGTAAGCCAGAGTAGCCAGAGTGGAACTTTTTCGGGGATCCAGGCCAATTGGTGTTTCAGATATTATGGCAAAGTGAATTCGCTGTGGCAAACGACACACAATATCTCACACTGGGTGACTCCCAAACCACCTCTTTCACCAACTGATGGAAATGACTTCTGCTACGGCTACGATGTGCCGAATTTACTACAACACCGTGTTACAACACCCATAGCAAACCGTTTCAAGTTGAAAGCTTCAACCTGCCCCACAATCAACATTGCACCGTGGAGGTGCTAGGGGAATCCGAGAGATGTCGACAAAGGCACCGGAATCCCTGCTTTGAAAAACTCGGTGTCCATGTGCAGAACAACCTTGGTTGCAGCCCTCAGCCATGGATGCGGGCACCAAGCAATTCAGAGTATTCCAACGCCCTAGTTTCGATACAGAGTTGGAGACTAGGCTGGGCAAACTGTCCAGTGAGCGATGCTTTTGGAATATTCAGAGCCAAGGACAAGCTGGAACTTGGCCCTTCGGCGCAAATGTCAAAGAAGTCAAGCGAGTACTGAAAGTACTAGAGTGTAATAGACTCAGCGGCTCTGTGCAAATGGGAAAAAGCTGCTTGATGGCCAGGGAGCACGATACCTCGTTTGCTGTTCGGGAACCTGGCCAAGCACTTCACTGAACTCAATGTATCTCAATGTCATGTGTATATATATATACACACACACGTCATATTCATCCTATCTCCTAGGGATTCTTGAATTCTTGAAGAGTCTCTATTGGCTCGATATGAACATGACAACACCTTTGTCCAAGCACAGGTGATTGTCTCAGACTCCACAGGAACTGGTATACGTCTCAAGCGCAAGTCAGCAATGTACCAACCACAATTGGGCGATCATGGATAATGGCAGCCTGGCTAGATAGTGGTAAAGTGCTTCAAGAAGTGCTTCAAGACTGTTGCTCTTTTTATAGTTCCACCTGCTAACCGCTAACCTCAATGACCTCCCAAAGAGTCCCTGCCTTCGGTTCAGGCAAAGACAACTGTTGACTGAGTTTCTCCAACGCCACCTGTGCACGAAGGGGTGAATCCTGCACACCAGGCGTCGGCGCAAAAATGTAGATCGAGCGATCCGGGCTGTAGCGCAGCACGTGCAATCCCACCGCATGTAGCATTGCAAAGCCGCCAAAAGAGCTGATGAAACTTGAGAAGTCCTGAGCCAACAGGAAATAGGATGAAGCTTCACAAATGCAAGCAGCATAAGCTGACCAGGTGAAGCAGGAAGTAAGAATCATGTCTGTAATATATATACATATATATATATACACATAAATTAATATAAATTACACATATAATTGCGACCATTTGAAGCTGTTGCATCCAGGCAAGAATTGGTTAGCTGGGAAAGTTCATTTGCACGAGTAAGTCAACCATCCAGGGTTCTCTAGCTCTCAGCAACAAGCGGTACTCGGAGGCGTCTGCACCTCAATCGAAAAATGACGCGGAGATAAGTAGAGTCTGTGCATTTGCAGTGCTTTCAATGGAAGTACACTCAGCAGCGTGTTTTCCTTCAGGAGGATTTGCAAAATGAAAAATCCCATTGGTCGTCACTCTGAGACCCCCCGCATTCAGCTAGCTGCTTCAAAATAGCATGCAACCTCAAGCAAATCACCATCGAATTGGCAGGTCGAGCACCATTGGACAACGCAAAAGAGATCATCTCTCGCTAGGGAATCTACAAAGCAAAAGATCACTGTAGACTGTAGAATTGACAGATCGGTCTGGGTCTGAGCAGAAGCTCCATCAACCATTGCAGGAGAGCCCACAGTAGGATTTCACATGGCAAGACTTTCCACTCCATTTCTCCATTTCTCCACTCCAAGAGTTTCCATGCTTGGCCGAGGTTCTGTGCCAACGGCTCTTCAGATGTCTTGCCATTTTTAATGCGAGAGATGGCATCTTCAATTGGATCTGCACTTTCATCGACCACCTGCAGGCTCTGGTGTTTCCGGCCAACTGTCACTTGTCAAACAGTAGCAAGATTGATTTTGTTTTAACATGTTTTAACACTTCGGCATTTCCCTGCCTCCAGCTCATTGATGAAGCCACTCCAAACACCTGGTGCAAGTGCAAATCAAACAACCAGCTTCAAAACGTGTCACACTTGCGTCAGAAGGAAGTTGCGGGCGGTCTCATGCTTAGCATGCCATCGCCCTGCACCAAAGCAACCAGAAAAACAAACTGGGAAGGCAAGCCCCAAAGTTTCGCGCCTTCTTTAATCATCAAACGAACTTGGCAGCCACTGATGGCTACCACAGTGGCGACGCCGTCTACTTGTAGGAGTCCCCAGCCACGTTTGGGAGTCAAGCCAGCACCTTGGAAGGCAAACGCAGATGCTGACGGACTAGTGGCTAGCTGTACATGAAAATGAAGGGATCTCCGCAAACCTGTGGCGGTTTGTCCCGTAGACAACAGTACACAATTCTTCGTCCTCTGCACACAGCATTCTGGTGTGTGTGTGTGCTCACGACTCTTTGTGAAGGAATGAGAAGTACAAGCGTCCCACCGGGCAGATCAGTTCCTCCATGGCACTAAGGACCAAACGGACTCTGACTCGCACATTGGGACGAATCATGTCTGCAACCTGGATCATTCTGTTGATCATTCTATTGATCTTGTGTCAATGCATTTTGGACTTGCAGAACCAATACGCATCTTAGATTTGGGGAAGCATGCTGGTGAAGGACAGGAAATATCCGAAAATTTTGAAATTATATTGATTTTAAATCAGAGCCGAGTTCCTTATGTTGATTTGAATTTATTTGTATTGCAGTGTGCGCCAAGTCGCAGGATCAATCATAAGTTCGTCCTTGGCAACAACTGGATCTTCGTGAACTCGCAAAATAGAACAAAATGAAATGCAAAACACAACAATACAAAATAGATCAAAATAGTGCCTGAAGCAGGAGTCAATTGAGTCAAGTCTGATTTCCTTCCTGAGAACGTACATGACCTTGTGAGTCGATTCCAAGTATCTTTTTGGCAATGCCAACTGGCTTGCTCTGCAAAGCTGACCCAAGCTTGGGTGTCTTCTTCTTTTACGACTACACCTGGCAGGACTCACACGATTGCTAGCTGTGTACCTACCTGTACCCCTTCTGCAAAACACCACTCTGACAGACGCCACTCTGACAATGGACAGAACAAAAACCGTGCCAAAGTGTATGCCTGACAGCATTTGTGACTGCAGCGTGGGCTGAGTTGCATTGACTTTCCAGGAATCCCACCGCACCTATGCTCTCATGCGAAACCTTGGCTCAAGTTGCACCGGTGCCTGAAAGTCGGTAGTCCCAGATCTGAGAGAACCTCTATGGCACAGCACGCGAAAAAAAATGTCTCGCTGCTTCCTCCAAGTGACAGCACCCCACTCAAACTTCGGGTGCTCCACCTATGCGCAGCTTGAAACCCAAATGAACGGGGCCACCGAAACGCGCTGGACATGACAAAAACAAACAAAGGATACAAAAGTCAAGTCAGACTCTTCTGTTTAGATCAGGCAAAACCGCCCGTGCTCCAACAGCGAAGGCATTTTGTATTGTATGGGAACCAGTCGCAGATAAGAGATTGAATAAGTGGAAGCTTGGGAAGCCTTTCTTTGAACTCCCTCGCATTCGCAATTCAATAGTACATTTTTTTTTCATACATTTGAAGGTGAACGGTAAATCTAAGTTGGACCCAAGATTGTGCCATTGCTTCTGGTGTTTTTGCTTTAAGTAATTGTCTGTTTCTGGGAAAAGCAAACATGCTGCACACAATCTACAGTGCCTCAGTGCATTGGCTCAGTTGGTTGTTCAGCAATGCAAAATAAAGACTGCAACTAGCCGTGTTCGTTGCTTCACTTCTGCTCCTCTCCAACTAGAGTCTGTGAAGTTTATCCGAAATGATTTTTGAAATGATATTGGATACAACTGGATATCTGCTCGAACACTGTACTCCCCAAGGTTATCCCTAGAAAACCTCCACGATGTGGGCAGATTGGGCATCTTCAGGCGGAGAATCGTCAAGAAATGAAATGAAAATGCAAAAATAAAAAAACTATAGAAAGAAATGAAAATGCAACTACGAAACTACGAGAAAGCCCCTTGTACCAATGATCTGCGACAAAGCTGTTGTCTAGCCTACACCAGAGCTCCCCTCGGAGATTCTTCAAACATGGAGATCTGAGAAGGGTCAACTGCTGAAAGGATGCAGGACAGTCTTACATTAAGCACGGAGGACCTGCCATCACACTCCACAACATTTATCATTATGCAACACTTTACAACCTTCCGCCCTCCAAGAGGCCCTCCGTCAGCCCTTCAGCTCTCAACCCTGCCTCCTTCCGCACACGAACTGCCCTTCCTTCGAGGCCAGCCAGGCGAGAGCAGGTCTCGGCCGCCTGCACCATGCCCATGCTGACGTGGCAAAACGTTGCAAAATGTGGTGTGAACCTTGTTTGTGCCAAATTTCTTACGTCATTTCTCATGTCATTGTGCTACTCAATGCATTGCAACCGTCTTTGATTTGCATTCCTTTAAGTTCTCAAAATCTGTGGCAGAAAGGCAGAAACAATGCCTTGAAAAACTACCATCCACTGCTAAGGTCACTGTCACTCGTCACGACACCATCTCTACCAGAGTCACTACCATCATAGCGTCATAGCTGCTGCGCCTCCTCGATGGAGCCACCGCCTACGGCAGCCAGGGCCTCACGTGCTCGCTCCAAAGAGAAGCCGCGGTCCGTGAGCTCTCGAAGGCGCTGCGCTTGGATCTCCTAAGATCAGCGTTTCCAAGGATTTTCTGTAAGAAATAGTATAAATATGTATTAAAAAACAAAACATATTGAATCATATAGATATGTTGTGTTTATATGTTTTAAGTGCCAAAATAAATGTTCTGAACTTTTCTGGGTGTTCTTATTATTGTGAGGGTCAGTTGATGTAATTTGATGTCAGTGCATGTCATTTAGATCGGTGTCATCCCACTTACTCTAAATCCATTTTGCATCAATAGCAAGGCCTTGGATTTCACTGGGCCAGGCCACAAGCTCGTTGTGGGAACCGGCTTCACCCTGCAAGTGAGCCTTGCGGCAGTGTCAACCACACTCGGCACACTCATAAGCATATCCAGTGCTTTTCTTTGTGCATACTCCCAAACAACCACCCAGCCTGACAAAAGGAGTGGCCACATGGTGCATGCACGGCACCCTGGATGAGATCGTGGCAAACACTACCTCAGGACTTGGGACGATTCCAGAGCATGTGGAAGCTGTTCAGAAGCTGTTCAGAAGCCCAACATTTCTCAACTGAAATCTCTTCCCCTACCAGACCCTTCTAAGAAGAGTTCCTAACTGAAGAGTGCCCAGTCACATTGCAGCTCTCGCAAATGCTCCGGTGCCACCTCCGGTCAAATTGTTGAGCAAAGGAAAGGGGGCTGTGGACTTACTTAATGTGCCTCTTGCCATGGAAACCTCCTGTTTGCAAGGAAACGCAAAATTTCTCTGCGGAACAAGATGTAGAGGAGCCAAGAGTTCACTATCATACATGCATGTGCTTAGACACATTATGATATTATATATATATATATGATATTATGTCAATATATACTACAGTATGACACTAACAAAAAAAAATGAAACTTGAAAAGCAAAATGTGGTGTCGTCTTTGCAGAACGGGTTGGGCACAGATTTCAGCTGAGGCACCAAGGCGACTTCGTAGCCCGAGGCTGTACGAAGCAAGACGCCCTTGGCAGCTGGTGATTTCCCGAGCCTCGCGTCCAGCTGCAGAGTAAGAAGATGTAAGAAGCTTTAAGGAACCAATTTCATTCAATTTAATTCAATTTACCAATCTCTGATATCTCTTGCTATTCAATTACATATATATAATTTATAATTAGAATCCAAAGCTTGACAGTGATGAAGAAGGCCCCATACTCTTGACTAAGACACGACAACACTGCAACACAGGAAAATCGAAGGGCTCTTGAATCAACAAGTTTTGCTTTAGGTCTGATGTAAGGCCGCAGCATCTTGTCCATACTTGTGATCCTCAGGTTCAAGATAAGTATGCCAAGTATGCTTCTTGCAGCGACCACAACTCAGGCATCCCTCTCAACCTCTCTACTACAATCCGTGTTGCATCATTGAGTCCTTTATCTGAGCCAAGCTTCTGCACTGTCTGCGAGCGCGTTATGGTACCCATCGGCGGGATGTCGGTCACGCCTTTCTCTATGGGCAAAACCACTGATCCTGGAGCTGTATACAGATCTACTTTGATCCCAGGTCAAGAAGCTTAAGTGGATCCCTGCAGACTCCAGAAACCAGTCACACATAGCCGCATAGCACTTAGCGGCCTGAAATATCTTGAAGCATTTTGAAAGACCAAACACGCAATGCCAGCATAGCTGAACAGAACTTGTGCTTAGAAGTGGTTCCATCAGTGACCCCGGCAGCCCGCTCCAGTGGGCACGGATGCACTCCGCGTTAACTTTTGCTGTTCGGAATCCATGGCTCTAGGCACCGTGTCTGACAGCGTCTATTAAACAATGTTCAAAAACTCGGCCAGCTAGGCTAGCTAGGTGTTCCACTTGGCAAGCATTCAATAGCATTCATCAGAACTCAGTCCCCAAACGAAATGGCAAGGCCTCTTATGCATTGTTCTGCCCTATTTACAAGCCTTCGGTGATGAGCATGTCAATGGGACTCTTTTTCCAGCCTTTCATGTTGTGCCTTCGGGTCGAACTTCCGTTGTTGCCCTGCATGTCCTCCTAGTGCACTGAATCTAAGCTTGGAAATCTAAGTTTGGTCCTTTTGGACTCCCAAAGTGTGTTGATTTTGGCAACGTCTTTTGTGTTCGTTGTGCTTGTGCCTACAGTGCCTGCAGATTTGCCTTTACCACCCAGCACCATGCAATGGATCATGCAGCTGCTTGGTCACCTGGTAGTCATGATAGCCAACTGAGACCTTCAACATGGTGAAAACAAACAAGTAAAAATATCATAATAAATTGATAGTGAATTATTTTTAATATATATATATATTTATTTATTTGTGTATTTATTTATTTATTGATTTATTTGTTTTCTTACTTTAAATTACATTACATTGTATTGTACTATCTATTATTATTTCATATGATATTTTAATCATTTTGTATTATTTTATATTATTTTATTTAATGTTATTTATTATATTACATTATATCATTTGATATTACATGGTATTGTCTGGAAATATATGATATTGTATGATATGATATGATATGATATGAAATGAAATCACAGCATATGATATCATATCATATCATATCATATTATTCTTTCAACCTAATATACCATATCATATCATATCAAATTATATTATATTATACCATCTTATATTATATTATACCATTATTATATTATATCATTGTTTATTACTATTAAATTATTATATTGTTATATTATTGTATTATTATATTATTATGTTATTATATTATTATATTGTTATATTGTTATAAAAATATATGATTCTATTCTTATATTATTATAGTGTTATATTGTTATATTGTTATATAGTTATACGGTTCTATTCTTATATTATTATAGTGTTATATTGTTATATTGCTATATAGTTATATGATTCTATTCCTATATTATTATATTATTATATAATTATATGATTCTATTCTTATATTTTTATATTATCATATTATGATATGTTTATATTATTATACTATTATATTATTATACTATTATATTATTATATTATTATATTATTATATTATTATATTAATATATTATTATATTATTATGTTATTATATTATTAAATTATTATATTATTATGTTATTATATTATTAAATTATTATATTATTATATTTTATTATCGTATTATTAAATCATATTTTGCATTATATTATCATATTATTTTTCAATTATATAATATTATTATATTTCAAAATTATATTATTACATGATAATATTATTTTATAATATAATATTAAACTATATTGTACTATATTATTTTATACTATACTATACTATAGTATACTATAGTATACTATACTATACTATACTTTAAAATACAATATAATGTAATACTATACTATACTATACTATACTATACTAGAGTATACTATACTATACTATACTATAGTATACTATACTATACTATACTCTACTCTACTCTACTCTACTAGACTATACTATACTATACTATACTTGACTATATTCAACCATGCTTTACTGTAAATATTATATGCCATTTAATTATTTTATATCATATCAAATTACATTATATTATATTATTTGATTTGTTCATATTATGTAATGTTATCTTATGTTTTATTATATATTTACATACACAGTATAAGAATAGAATGATCATCTTCAAATTTCTGAACTTAGTTAGATCCTCCTTGGAGTCCTCCTTGGAGTTCATTCAGCAACTAGACAGGCTCCCCCTAACTCTTCAGAGGCTGTTCTGATGTCGATGCTTCACTATGACCCACCAGCCTTCCAAGTCACGCATAGCAGCAAGGTAACCAGCTTCTAGACCAGCGAAGAAGAAGGCTCCAGGGTATTGTTGATTCCTCGCAAACGACAGGCATAAGTTTCAAAACCGGTGAATCTGTAGATGGCCCGTCAGATGGATTGAAATTTGAAGGCATTTCGCTATCATTTCACAAATCACTGTGCAAGATGCAAGACCGATCAAAGCTCTTGGGTGATACAACCTTCAGCAGAAATGCACAGTTCAAGTACTTCTGCTCCGAGTAGCGCCCAGTCCAAGATCTCTTTGGCCGTATGCAAACGATCGTCACGCTCGGCCCGAAACTCTCCCAAAAAGCTGCTGACATCAACGCAGAAGCCGATCAGAACCATCCCAGCAAAGGGTGCCTTCAAGTTCAATGTTTTGCTGCTGTTGTGAGACATTTCGAAGAAGACAACACGGCGAAAAACGCAAGCAGGGATCAGTAGTGGCTAAAATGCTACCTGCATACATCTACTCTGCAATATAAGAGCTGCCAGCTGATTGCAGTTTCAAACGCATGCCGAATCGGGCATTCTTCAACATGCCCACGGTTTGGAAAAATAAAAGTATGTATGTATGTATATATATATATAAAAATGTGTGTGTGTTTTTCTCTATATATACAAATATATATATAATCTTTTATATATAATTGTAAATACATATATGTATGTATGTATGTATGTATGTATGTACGTATGTATCTGTATATGTATATATATGTAAATGTATGTAAATGTATGTAAATGTATGTATCTATAAATGCATATAAATATATATATATATGTATTTATGCATATATATGAATAAATATAAATATATATGTGTGTACGTACAGTATATCTTATATAATTGTTACCAGTAATACCGCACAAGGCGGTGGTGGAAGTTTCTAAGATAGGGCACCTATAGGCGAGGTTGGTTGTTGTGAATCACGGATGGCAGAGCGTATCCACTGATGCCGTGGTTGCAGTGATTGTAGTTGTAGTGTAGCGTAATGGAGTTGTAGTTGTAATGTAGTGTAATTAGTGTAGTGTATTTGCAGTTGTAACTGTGGTGTGGTGTAATTAGCATAGTGTTGTGTACTGTAGTGTAGTTGTAATTGTAGTTGCAATTGTATTGTAATTGTAGTTGTAATTGTAGTTGTAGCTGGTGGTGGTGCAGGTGCTGGTGCTGCTGGTGGTGGTGGTGGCGGTGGTGGTGGTTGTTGTAGTTGTAGTTGTAGTGCAAGTAGTGTAATTAGTGTAATTAATGTAATTAGTGTAGTGCAATTAGTGTAATTAATGTAATTAGTGTAGTGTAATTAGATGTAATTAGATGTAATTAGATGTAATTAAATGTAATTAGATGTAATTAGATGTAATTAGTGTAGTGTAGTGCAATTAGTGTAGCGCAAGGTAGCGTAGTATATTTGCAGTGATATTTGTACAGTTGTAGTTGTAGTAGTAGTTTAGTGTAGTGGTACTGGTAGTTGTAGTTGTAGTTGTCTATCTGCAAGATTGAAAACAAAGCTATTCTGCGAGACTTCCTCAGCTTTTCCACTTGACCACATCAAAAACGCAGCAATTCTGCGAGACGTCCTCAATTTTTGAATTTGACAACGTCAAAAACGAAAGAATTCTGCAAGACTTCCTGAATTTTCGAAGCTGACAACATCAAAAACGAAGCAATTCTGCAAGGCTTCCTTGAAAAAAGGAAAGTTGAGTGCAGAGCTATCGCCTCGTGCCAATGCGTTTTCCGATTTTTCCCTTCCGTCTGTCTAAACTACGGCGCCTGCCACGAAAAAGTGATGCCAGGTCATACGGAGTGCGAAAGCATCTTGGCAAGCCTGAAGATCTGATGCTCCAAAATGCAACCCCTCTCAGGAAATCAGCGCCCTGACCTCCTAACATCTCTGATTAACATGTCTCTTGTACTGCGCCTGCCACGGAAAATTCATCTCTTCAAATGCCGCACGCCTGCCATCGTTTTTGGAAATTCTGCAAAACCCTCACGTTTTGCTCACTTTTGACAAGGTGCGCAATCCCTTGCGCCTGCCACGCCAAACGACGCTTCAACATCCAAAAGTGGCGCGTACATGCGGTGTTTTGTACATTTTGACTTCAACATGTGCTTCGCGCCACCATGGTGTGCACTTTTTCGACATCTCAACTTCCAAAAGTGGTCCGAACCTGGTGTGGTTTGTACAGTTTGACTTCGACATGTGCTTCGTGCCACAAAAGCGTGCAATTTTTCATCTCTCATCTGCCCAGATGGCATCTGCACAGATGGCTCCGCACCCGCCGTTTTAGCGAGCCTACTTTTCAACCCTCCGAACCCACAAGTCAAGTCACTGGAAAAACACAGTGGTTCGCGACCCTTCTTACTTTTCGCCCACCTGCATCTTCTTTCTTCTGACTCTTTTCTTCTCTGATATTCTTTCTTCTCTTTCTTCTCTGACTCTTCCCACCTCTGCTGTTTCATCTGTCCATAGTGTCGGAAGTTTGACTTCTACACTTCCTTCGCTTATGACTACTATTAGCATTAATAATAATCATCATCATAAAAATAAAAATAATATAATCTGTTATTATTGTTATTGATAATTTATTTGTATTATGATTATTAATACTATTAATTACCATTCTTTGTTGTTATTATAAATATTATTTACTGTTATTCTACTATTGTTACTTTATATATATATATACAACAGCAAGTAAAACAAGGAACCTGGGGTTAGTATAGAGAATGGCTTCCAAAAAAATAACAATCACCCACTTGCGGCTCAGTGATGCCTGGATGCCGCCTTCTTCCCAGCACGATCGCAGCTGAGAAAGCGCAACGTCCCGGCCACCATGGAAGCCTCTTAAGAGCGGGAGCCTATTTGGTGTACTCATTGTTTTGCCCTCAGCTCAAACCCAGCCCTGAAAGTTTGTCTCTCTCGCTCTATCATCAAGTGTCGAGTTGCCAAGATTTACACCTTCCTCACCCTCAGAGGTTCCAAAGTTTGTCATATTCCTGCCTGTGGCCCAACCAGCAGCCTTCATGGCTGTTGGAGGCAGCATGGACACAAACCTCACGTGCTGCGTTCGTCACCTTTCTGCTGCTTTCCAGTGCTGTTAATTGCAGGCGGTCATATTGTGGCCTGCAAGAAGCTGAGATGGAGAACCTATGAGAATCTAACCAATCTAGCCTTCAAAACGCCCATGCCATTTTCCAAGCAGCAGGTTGAAGACTCCCAGTGCCAGTAGTGCAGTGGAGCGCACGCAGCCACGCTCGTGGCCATCAAACATCATGGCCTCTGCAAAACAAGGCCGTCACATCGTTTCACATCAAGACACAATGTCAAAAAAAAACAAAAATGTTTTTTCAGTGCAAGTGCGATGAGTACGCTGGAATCCCAGACCTAGAAGCGCTGGCGGGATTTCACCATAGCAACCGCAGAAAGTTGCAAAACACTGAGACAAGCAGCCAAGGTGAAAATCTGAATTTCTGATGATGCTGATATTTTTCTTTGAAACATATTTGAAGCTGTGTCAGTGTGTCAGAGCATCAGTTCATGTTGGCCCCACAGGCTGGCCTCAGATTCCAGATTGCGCAGCCAAAACCAAGAGCGTAATACATGCCACACCTTGACGTCTCAAATTTGGGAAGATTTCACACGCAATGCGTTCATGTTGCGCCGCCAAAACATCAAGACCCTCCCGGGACTGACCAGGAAAAGAATTCAAATCACAAATCCGCCCGCTGCCGAGGCGTGGTAGTTTAGTAGTGGATGCGACCGGGCAGAACTGTCAGACTGGTAAGGGGGCCATGTTCGCCCGGGATAGGGCGCCAAAAGTCGGTTCCCTCTGGGGTAATTTGAAAATTTTGCGTTCGGCACGACATCGTCCGAATGCACCGGTTTGATCCGACATGGGCAACATCGGTTCCATTTGTGGTCAAATTCGCCCAACAAGGCCACAACATTCCAACTTCGGCCCAAGTTGAGGTCCACATGGCTTCAAAATGGTGGACATGGCCGGCCCAAGACGAAATCCTCAAAACACCCGTTTTCACTTGTGTTTCCCACTTTTTTTGCGCATCGATGACGCTTCATGTTGAACGTGTCTCCGTTGGGCCCAACTTGGCGCAAAGCTGTCGTCAAAGGGCCCCCAAGCTGTGCCACGTTGGGCATGACTTGCACCTCCATGCGTCTAGTATCACATGGCTTCAAGTTAAGGTCCATCCGGATTGATTTGGACTCAGCTTCAGCCCCAACTTGCGCCCAACGTGCCCACAATGTGCCGTGTTGGACCCCAAGTGGGCTGAAGTTGGGCCCCTGTTTGGCCCAACTTAAGGCCAAGGACGGCGGAGTTGGGCCAAGTACGCCCGCTGCTTTCCTCCATCCACACGGTGTAATTATATTTATATAGTAGCCTTACCAACTCTCGGCCAACCTGGTCGGTGGTCGCACCAAAAAAAACTAGCTGAATCCCATCATGAAGCATGCCGACACATGATACAGACACGTGAATCACACCCAGGACGGCGTCTTCCGTCTTTTAATGTCTTTTACTGTTAGAAACCATGTCCCATGCCTCGTTCAAAACCAGCTATACCGGCCAAGCCCGCAGAATGCTCATTCTATACAAGCAACCTTTTACAGTTTCATTCGTTCCAGCAAGTGCCTTCTGGCAAATGGTTTCTTTCCGTGGTGAACGACTCTGAACGGTCAAATTCTCCAAGATTGGCCTTTGGTTGGATTCTTCCACTTGTCAGTCTGCACACTATGAAATCACCCGGCCTCTTTGCAAACCAAGCTACGCCCTTTGAGGGCATGCCCTGCATAATCTCTACTACACCGGCCACTAGATTGCACAATCCTGGCTATTTCCCACGGTCTGCATCCCAGGCGCAAGGCAGAAGAAGAAACAATGAGGCAAACCATATCAACATATATCATCTTAATCTTGGTCATTCCGGAGTATGAGGAAAATCAATCTCCTGCAGCTTTTGAATCTGAGCCTGTCTGAGCTATTGCACATGTTGCAAGTGCGCACATGTTCAACAATCTCAACAGTTTTACCTAGTTTTGCTTTTTCATCACCCTGAATCACTGAAGACTCTGAGCCCCGACCTCGCAGAACAGTTCGGCCGGGCCAGTTACCATCCAGCTGAAGTTCCTCATCTGCACGATGTACTCGTTCAAGTACAATGTCCAACTGGTTGTTCCTGAGCTGTCTGGACTATCCAAAATGGTTGGTGTCTTTGGTTTGTTTACAGTTTATAACATGTTCACGTTTGAGAAGGGAAACGGGCTTCGATTCCAGTGAAAATACATGAAAGCTGTCCCTGCTTCATTCGAACAGATGCAAGTGGCTTTCCCTGATTAAGAAGCTCTGAGTGCCAAGTCTCTCCAGGGAGGCCAGACCATTGATCAAGCTCATCAAGGCACTTACAAATGTGAAGCAGCCTCCAAACAAGATGGAAGCCACGAACCCGAATGTATTCACGTTCTTGGGCTACGAGTGCAAACCTCTGCAATAGGAAAACGAACCGATGTTTGCATGCATCGTGCGGTTCACAAAGAGACAACTAACCAGCACAACAACATCACCACAAGCACAACGAAATCACAACCGGCACAGCAATATCACCAGCGCAATGAAATCACAACAAAATCACCAACACAACAGCATCACCAGCACAGCAACATCACCAGCACAACGAGATCACCACCACCTGCCACACTCCACACTTTACCCACTGCACACTCCACACTCTACACTTTACACTCCACACTCCGCACACTACACTTTACACTCCACACTCCACACTCTACACTTTACACTCTACACTTTACACTCTACACTTAACTTGACACTCTACACTTCACACTCGACACTTTCCGCTCCGCAATCCACACTCTACACTTTATACTCCAGGCTCCACACTTTACACTTTACACTCCTCACTCCACGCTCTACGCTCTACACTCCACACTCCACCACACTCAACACTCTACACCCACCACACTCCTCACTCCACACTCCACACTTTACATTCCACACGCCACACTTTACACTCCACACTCGCCACTTTCCACTCCACACTCCACACTCTACAGTTTACACTCCACACTTTACACTTTACACTCCTCACTCCACACTCAACACTTTACACTCCACACTCCTCACTCCTCACTACACACACTACACTCCACACTCCACACTTCACACGCCACCCTCCACCACATTCTACACTCTACACCGCACTCCTCACTCCATACTCCACACTTTACACTCCACACGCCATACTTTACACTCCACACTCCACACTTTACACTCCACACTCCACACTTTGCACTCCACACTCTACACTGCACTATACACTCCACACTCCACACTCTACACTTTACACTCTTACTTTTTACAATCTACACTACACATTCCACACTCTACACGCTCTACACTCCCCACTCCACACTATACAAAGCACTTCCCAGAACCACTTAGTACTGCAAAGCTTGCACAAACTACTTCCCAGTACTTTGTACTACACAGCTTGCACGAAGCACTTCCCAGTACTACTGTGTACTACACAGCTTGCACAAACTACTTCCCAGTACCATTTTGTACTACAAAGCTTGCACGAAGCACTTCCCAGTACCACTTTGTACTACAAAGCTTGCACGAAACCGTTCCCAGTACTACTGTGTACTACAAAGCTTGCACAAAGCACTTCCCAGTATTACTTTGTACTACAAGGTTTGCAAAAAGTCGTTCCCAGTACTACTGTGTACTACAAAGCTTGCAACAACTACTTCCCAGTACTACTTTGTACTACAAGGCTTGCAAAGTCGTTCCCAGTACTACTGTGTACTACAAAGCTTGCAACAACTACTTCCCAGTACTACTTTGTACTACAAAGCTTGCACAAAGTCGTTCGCAGTACTACTTTGTACTACAAAGCTTGCACAAACTCGTTCCAAGTACTACTGTGTACTACAAAGCTTGCACAAAGCATTTCCCAGTACTACTGTGTACTACAAAGCTTGCACAAACTACTTCCCAGTACTACTGTGCACTACAAAGCTTGCACAAAGTCGTTCCAGTACTAATGTGTATTACAAAGCTCGCACGAAGCACTTCCCAGTACTACTGTGTACTACAAAACTTGCACAAAGCACTTCCCAGTACTACTGTGTACTACAAAGCTCGCACAAACACGTTCCCAGTACTACTGTGTATCCCAGTACTACTGTGTACTACAAAGCTCGCACAAACACGTTCCAGTACTACTGTGTACTACAAAGCTCGCACAAACACGTTCCCAGTACTACTGTGTACTACAAAGCTCGCACAAAGCACTTCCCAGTACTACTTTGTATTACAAAGCTTGCAGGAAGCACTTCCCAGTACTACTGTGTACTACACATGCACAAACACGTTCCAGTACTACTGTGTACTACAAAGCTCGCACAAACACGTTCCCAGTAGTACTGTGTACTACAAAGCTCGCACAAAGCACTTCCCAGTACTAGTTTGTACTACAAAGCTTCCACAAAGCACTTCCCAGTACTACTGTGTACTACAAAGCTTGCACAAACACGTTCCAGTACTAATGTGTACTACAAAGCTCGCACAAACTACTTCCCAGTATTACTGTGTACTACAAAACTTGCACAAACACGTTCCAGTACTACTGTGTACTACAAAACTTGCACAAACACGTTCCAGTACTACTGTGTACTACAAAGCTCGCACAAACACGTTCCCAGTACTACTGTGCACTACAAAGCTCGCACAAACTACTGTGTACGACAAAGCTTGCAGAAAGCACTTCCCAGTACTACTGTGTACTACAAATGCACAAACACGTTCCACTACTACTGTGTACTACAAAAGCTTGTACAAACTACTTCCCAGTACTACTGTGTACTACAAAGCTTGCAGAAACACGTTCCCAGTACTACTGTGTACTACAAAGCTCGCACAAAGAACTTCCCAGTACTACTTTGTACTACAAAGCTTGCAGAAGCACGTTCCCAGTACTACTGTGTACTACAAAGCTCGCACAAACTACTTCCAAGTACTACTGTGTACTACAAAGCTCGCACAAACACGTTCCCAGTACTACTGTGTACCACAAAGCTTGCACAAAGTCGTTCCCAGTACTACTGTGTACTACAAAGCTCGCACAAACTACTTCCCAGCACTATTGTGTACTACAAAGCTTGCACGAAGCACTTCCCAGTACTACTGTGTGCTAGAAAGCTCGCACAAACACGTTCCCAGTATATACTACTGTGCACTACAAAGCTCGCACAAACTACTTCCCAGTACTACTGTGTACTACAAAGCTTGCAGAAAGCACTTCCCAGTACTACTGTGTACTACAAAGCTTGCACAAAGCACTTCCCAGTACTACTGTGTACTACAAAGCTTGCACAAAGCCGTTCCCAGTACTACTGTGTACTACGAAGCTTGCACAAAGCACTTCCCAGTACTACTTTGTACTACAAAGCTTGCACGTACTACTGTGTACTACAAAACTCGCACAAACACGTTCCCAGTACTACTGTGTACTACAAAGCTCGCACAAACTACTTCCCAGTACTACTGTGTACTACAAAACTTGCACAAAGCACTTCCCAGTACTACTGTGTACTACAAAGCTCGCACAAACACGTTCCAGTACTAATGTGTACTACAAAGCTCGCACAAACTACTTCCCAGTACTACTGTGTACTACAAAACTTGCACAAACACGTTCCAGTACTACTGTGTACTACAAAGCTCGCACAAACACGTTCCCAGTACTACTGTGCACTACAAAACTCGCACAAACTACTTCCCAGTACTACTGTGTACTACAAAGCTTGCAGAAAGCACTTCCCAGTACTACTGTGTACTACAAATGCACAAACACGTTCCAGTACTACTGTGTACTACAAAGCTCGCACAAACACGTTCCCAGTACTACTGTGTACTACAAAGCTTGCAGAAACACGTTCCCAGTACTACTGTGTACTACAAAGCTCGCACAAAGAACTTCCCAGGGTACTTTGTACTACAAAGCTTGCACAAAGCACTTCCTGCACAAACTACTTCCCAGTACTACTTTGTACTACACAGCTTGCACAAAGTACTTCCCAGTACTACTGTGTACTACACAGCTTGCACAAACTACTTCCCAGTAGCACTTTGTACTACAAAGCTCGCACGAAGCACTTCCCAGTACTACTGTGTACTACAAAGCTTGCAGGAAGCACTTCCCAGTACTACTGTGTACTACAAAACTTGCACAAAGCACTTCCCAGTACTACTTTGTACTACAAGGCTTGCAAAGTCGTTCCCAGTCCTGCTGTGTACTACAAAGCTTGCAACAACTACTTCCCAGTACTACTTTGTACTACAAAGCTTGCACAAAGTCGTTCCCAGTACTACTGTGTACTACAAAGCTTGCACAAAGCACTTCCCAGTACTACTGTGTACTACAAAGCTTGCAACAACTACTTCCCAGTACTACTTTGTACTACAAAGCTTGCACAAAGTCGTTCGCAGTACTACTTTGTACTACAAAGCTTGCACAAACTCGTTCCAAGTACTACTGTGTACTACAAAGCTCGCACAAAGCACTTCCCAGTACTACTTTGTACTACAGAGCTTGCACAAAGCACTTCCTGCACAAACTACTTCCCAGTACTACTTTGCACTTCACAGTACTACTGTGTACTACAAAACTTGCAGAAACACGTGCCAGTACTACTGTGTACTACAAAGCTCGCACAAACACGTTCCCAGTACTACTGTGTATCCCAGTACTACTGTGTACTACAAAGCTTGCACAAAGTCGTTCCAGTACTACTGTGTACTACAAAGCTCGCACAAACTACTTCCCAGTATTACTGTGTACTACAAAACTTGCACAAAGCACTTCCCAGTACTACTGTGTACTACAAAGCTCGCACAAACACGTTCCAGTACTAATGTGTACTGCGAAGCTCGCGCAAACTACTTCCCAGTACTACTGTGTACTACAAAACTTCCACAAACACGTTCCAGTACTACTGTGTACTACAAAGCTCGCACAAACACGTTCCCAGTACTACTGTGTACTACAAAGCTCGCACAAACTACTTCCCAGTACTACTGTGTACTAAAAAGCTTGCAGAAAGCACTTCCCAGTACAACTGTGTACTACAAGTGCACAAACTACTTCCCAGTACTACTGTGTACTACAAAGCTTGCAGAAGCACGTTCCCAGTACTACTGTGTACTACAAAGCTGGCACAAACTACTTCCAAGTACTACTGTGTACTACAAAGCTCGCACAAACACGTTCCCAGTACTACTGTGTACTACAAAGCTTGCACAAAGTACTTCCCAGTGTACTACAAAGCTTGCAGAAGCACGTTCCCAGTACTACTGTGTACTACAAAGCTCGCACAAACTACTTCCAAGTACTACTGTGTACTACAAAGCTCGCACAAACACGTTCCCAGTACTACTGTATACTACAAAGCTCGCACAAAGTACTTCCCAGTACTACTGTGTACTACAAAGCTCGCACAAACTACTTCCCAGTACTATTGTGTACTACAAAGCTTGCAAAAAACCGTTCCCAGTACTACTGTGTACTACAAAGCTCGCACAAACACGTTCCCAGTACTACTGTGTACTACAAAGCTTGCACGAAGCACTTCCCAGTACTACTGTGTACTACAACGCTTGCACAAAGCACTTCCCAGTACTACTGTGTACTACAAAGCTCGCACAAACACGTTCCAGTACTAATGTGTACTACAAAGCTCGCACAAACTACTTCCCAGTACTACTGTGTACTACAAAACTTGCACAAGCACGTTCCAGTACTACTGTGTAGTACAAAGCTTGCAACAACTACTTCCCAGTACTACTTTGTACTACAAAGCTTGCACAAAGTCGTGCGCAGTACTACTTTGTACTACAAAGCTTGCACAAAGTCGTTCCCAGTACTACTGTGTATTTCAAAGCTTGCACAAAGCACTTCCCAGTACTACTGTGTACTACAAAGCTTGCACAAAGCACTTCCCAGTTCTACTTTGTACTACAAAGCTTGCACAAAGTCGTTCCAGTACTACTGTGTACTACAAAGCTCGCACAAAGCACTTCCCAGTACTACTGTGTACTACAAAGCTCGCACAAAGCACTTCCCAGTACTACTGTGTACTACAAAGCTTGCACAAAGCACTTCCCAGTACTACTGTGTACTACAAAGCTTGCACAAACACGTTCCAGTACTACTGTGTACTACAAAGCTTGCACGAAGCACTTCCCAGTACTACTGTGTACTACAAAGCTTGCACAAAGCACGTTCCAGTACTACTGTGTACTACAAAGCTTGCACAAAGTCGTTCCCAGTACTACTTTGTACCACAAAACTCGCACAAACACGTTCCCAGTACTACTTTGTACTACAAAGCTTGCACAAAGTCGTTCCCACAACTACTGTGTACTACAAAGCTCGCACAAACTACTTCCAAGTACTACTGTGCGTAGCAAAAAACACGACGTGTTGCAGCTTCCCCTATAGACACGGCGACATCCACGCAGCAAAAAACACGAGGTTTTGCAGCTTCCTCCATAGACACTGCGACATCTACGTAGCAAAACACACGAGGTTTTGCAGCTTCCCCTATAGACACTGCGACATCTACGTCGCAAAAGACACGAGGTTTTGCAGCTTCCCCTATAGACATTGCGACATCCACGAAGCAAAAAACACGAGGTTTTGCAGCTTCCCCTATAGACACTGCGACATCTACGTAGCAAAACACACGAGGTTTTGCAGCTTCCCCTATAGACACTGCGACATCTACGTTGCAAAAAACACGAGGTTTTGTAGCTTCCCCTATAGACACTGCTACATCTACGCAGCAAAAAACACGAGGTTTTGCAGCTTCCCCTATAGACACTGCTACATCCACGTTGCAAAACACGCGAGGTTTTGCAGCTTCCCCTATAGACACTGCTACATCTACGCAGCAAAAAACACGAGGTTTTGCAGCTTCCCCTATAGAAACTGCGACATCTACTTCGCATAAAACACGATGTTTTGCAGCTTCCCCTATAGACACTGCGACAGCGACGTAGCAAAACACACGAGGTTTTGCAGCTTCCCCTATAGACACTGCGACATCTACGCAGCAAAAAACAGGAGGTTTTGCAGCTTCCCCTATAGACACTGCGACATCTACGTAAAAAAAAACACGACGTTTTGCAGCTTCCCTTATAGACACTGCGACAGCTACGTAGCAAAACACACGAGGTTTTGCAGCTTCCCCTATAGACACTGCGACATCTACGTTGCAAAAAACACGAGGTTTTGCAGCTTCCCCTATAGACACTGCGACATCTACGTTGCAAAAAACACGAGGTTTTGCAGCTTCCCCTATAGACACTGCGACATCTACGTCGCAAAAGACACGAGGTTTTGCAGCTTCCCCTATAGACAGTGCGACATCTACGTAAAAAACACGAGGTTTTGCAGCTTCCCCTATAGACACTGCGACATCCACGTTGCAAAAAACACGAGGTTTTGCAGCTTCCCCTATAGACACTGCGACATCTACGTCGCAAAAGACACGAGGTTTTGCAGCTTCCCCTATAGACACTGCGACATCCACGAAGCAAAAAACACGAGGTTTTGCAGCTTCCCCTATAGACACTGCGACATCTACGTCGCAAAAGACACGAGGTTTTGCAGCTTCCCCTATAGACACCGAATTAACGACGCGAAAACGACGCGAAAACGACGCGAAAACGACGCGAAAAACGACGCGCCGACCAACTGGCGGCGAACAAAGGTCCAACCCCCAGACCCCCAACTATAAACGGGAACCCTTCGCTACGCATTCGGGAAAAATAACGCTAGCAAAGGTATTCGCGGGCAGCACTCAAACGTTTTTTCTAGGTCAGGATCGTTGTTACATAGCCAACACAATGCTTTCACAGCAGCACTTTGCAGCAGCACCCTGCAGCGGCACCAGCAGCCAGACCCCAAAGCGCACACAACACTCTGACAGCAGCACCCTGCAGCGGCACCCTAAACTGGCACCCTGCAGCGGCACCCTGCAGCGGCACCTTGCAGCGGCACCTTGCAGTGGCACCCTGCAGCAGCACCAGCAACTAAGCACCAAAGTCTGACAGCAGCACCTTGCACGACACCCTGCAGCAGCACCCTGCAGCAGCACCCTGCAGCGGCACCCTGCAGCGGCACCAGCAACCAAGCTCCAAAACGCAATATGCAACTCTTCTTAATACTTGAAGTAAGAACCTCAATAGCTTCGCTATCTGAGGAAATAATGAAACCAAATCTCTCCAAGCTTCGGGACAGGAGGTGAGAGACTAGATTGTGGCAAGTCTGATTTTGTCAAATTGAGCTTGCATTGTACTGTATTATTCCCTTATGCTAGTAAATAAATCTAAATTAAATGTCTGTCGGAAGCTGCAGGGGATCTGGACTCCCGTGATTCCTTCATGTGCCAGGGAATGCATTACCCAAAGATACCCCAAGGCCCCAAAGCATTTGCGGCACGGCACAGTATCCCGTGGCCTCGCATGTCATGGTCTCCAGCATCAAAACGGAAGTCCCGCTTCGCCACTGCCTCCGACGAAGCTGCCAAAAGGTCCTGACGGGGATGCCTAGAGCTACTCGTCCCCAACGAGAAATCATGTGGAGATCATGGCAGTCTATGGCACAGATGTCTTTTGTCAATAATTGCTTTGGTGGCGGGGTAACTCTATGTCACTCTGGGATTCCAAGTGAGCTACTGGAAATAGGATGATGCATGTCAGTGAATATTCACTCATCTGTCATAACCCGTCCTCCGCTTCCTGCAAACGGTTGCCCAACATCAGCCGGATGCTCTCTTCAATGGCAGTCAAATCTTGATTCCATCGCTCCTGCACCTGGCTCAGTGCAGCACCAAATGAACTGAGACTGCACATGAAGTGTCATTTCCCTATCATAGAACTGTGGTTTCGGGTCATTTCTGAACCACCAAAGGATTTCCTGTGCGGCCGCTTGGATAGATGTTGGATCCCTTTCAAAACTGGTCCAGCCGACCATTCGCAACTCAAGAAAATGCCTCCGGATCGACAGCTTCTGCGGTTTCCGACATAGCTGTAGCTACAGTCCACACAATGAAGGGTTTTGTGTTTCCACCTGAATGCAATTGCAAGAAGCACTTCCTGCAGGCAGTGAACGAGATGGTAATACTCCAACCCCAGTATCTCCTTTGGGTGAGCTGCTCCAATGAAAAGATATGAAAAGGAGGCAGTCCTATGTATCACAGGTATTTGGAAGTAAATAAAAGAAGGCTACCAGGCGGCTACCATCCCTCCACTGCAATGCCAGATCTTGTGTTGATGTCAGAGGGACAGGTCAACAGATTTGTTGGATTTGAGCCACCTGTCGGCTGCTGCATGTTCCTCATTTTGTGAGCTCCCTCCAGACAGAATAGTGTATTTTTAGATTGTTTTTCATGCAAGGATTTTAGTTGCGAGTGCAAAGAGCAATGGCCTGTGCGAGACTGTTCGCGCACTCTCAATTCACATCTGAGTAGACTCCGCTTGAAACTGAAATGCAAAAGCTCGCTGTTTTTTACAATCTCGTGAGTATTATCGAGTAAGCATGGCGTTGCCCCAAGTGCAAGGCAACGCCAAAGCCAACACCAGGCATGAGACCTATACAGCTTTTGTGCGTAAACGCCCAACCCAGTACTTGCAAGGACGCATAGAAAATGTGAGCCTTCCCACCCTAAGCAACAACCTGAGGAAGTCTGAGAATTCCGTTTCAGACCTGTAGCTGAAACAAGGGCCACATGTGCTAACAACCGAATACTGCGGACGCAAAAGCCGCAGGCAGTGGACCGATGGTCCTTCCTCAAACACAGGAACTCTGGATAGGTTTGTGAGGCTCTGCAAATGTCAAGTTCATTTCTGCATAACTAGAGCTTCGCACACCTCGCGCTCAGGACAATCAACAAAACTCAGGGCAGCAGACAAATCGACATGACCAATAGTAACTGTGGGAAACATTACACTTTGGTTTCTCAGGCAAAAATAATTAAGGATCGCAGCCAGAAATTCATTGCCTCTGCCTTGTCCTGTCCAAAATCAGGGCACGATGCTCTTGCCAAGCACTTAGATTCAAGGCTTGCCGGCCTTTAAATCCACGGACAACGAAGTGAATATGGATCAACCTCTGTAAAGTCAAACAAAATTATCCAGGGCAGCAGCCTTTCGTGCGTCTGGGTCGCACCATTCCGGCGGCTTGGCAAGGCAAAGACTCGGAGGTCAACTGTTGGAATTGCAAAGCTTGCGTCAAGTTCTCTCACCTCAACCTAAAGTCACACTACATTATGAAAGCGCGTGTCTGTATATATATATATGTATACATATATATATATGTGTATATGTATATACATACATATAATATATTGTATATATATATACAAATATATATATATACAAATATATATATATGTACAGTACATAGTGATATTTGTAGCATTGCATTGTTGGCGTAATATTATATTGTGTGGTGTTATATAATATAATATGATACTATATCAAATTACATATTATATACTATATACGATGTATTATATATGATAGTTTATCTTGTATATTATACATAATATGTCAAGTATCATGTATTATATATAGTATATTTTAAATTGTATACTATATATTATCTATGCCCTATAATCATATATTATTATATACATATATATATATAGAATAATACATTTTATATTGTATATCATATACCATATATGTTTTATCGTATATGGAATATTACATTATACATTATACGTTATATATTAAATATTATTATATATTATATAACATATTTTATTATACAACATGTATTTTATATTTCATTATACATCATTTATTATATAGTATATATTAAGAATTATATATTGTATTCTAAATATTATCTATGATATATTATGTATTTAAATATATTTTAAATATATATGTATATATTTATTGTATATCATATTCTCTATTGTATTGCACGTGACATTAGATTATTCTATATGATATTAGATAATGTATTACAAATGATACTGCGTTGTATTGTATGATATCTTGTTCTATATCAAATGATAGGATATGAATTTAAAATATATTATGCCATATTGAAATTCATTATATGATGTTATATTATAGTGGATCATTTTAAGCGAAATATTATTTTGCATAAATATTTATATACGTATATATGTATATATATGATTTGAAATATATCATGTTATAGTATATTGTATTCGGTTAGATCATATTATTAATTATATCTTTTAGTGGTTTTTATTCACATTATATGTGCATAATTGTTCTTTAGTATCATTCTAGGTGATATTGCATATTGTTAAATTGTGTTTTGATACAGCATCAGTTGCCATAATATGTTGAATCAAATTGCGTTAACTGTTAGTTTGCTATGTGGAACTATATTTATGCGGTGCTATGTTGTACAATTTTAGACACATGTCATACAATGTCATGTCACATTATACTATATTGTTTTGCACGAAATATGGGGAAATATTATTTAGTATGTTATAAGTATGTTATAATTGAAATATGTCATATGAAATATAAAATATATTATATAACATGCCAATATTCAAGAGTTGATGCATTATGTATAATACATCATATGTTATACATCACATATTATAAACTGTACTATATAAAATAATATGCTACATTACATTACATCCCGATACATTACATTTTATACATATGCTACATTACATTACATCCCGATACATTACATTACATGTTTCTCATGTAACATGATATAATAGAATGTAACATGTCATCATGTAGTTAAATATTACATAATATGATGTATCAACTTATACTCTGTTGTGTAAAAAAAACTGCAATGTCAAAATATTTGATGTTAGGTTTTGTTGCATCATATTCGGTTACATTATGTCAATTACAGCATATTATATCATGTCGTAGCCTATTGTCTTATCAAACAATGTTTTACTAATCATGGTGTTACTACTGTTTTACATTAAATCAAACTAAATAAAGATATGTCCAATGTCATTGCTTTAACCTATTTTGAACTATATCATATTATGTCATATCAGGTCTAAAAAGTTTATTGTACACATTATGTTTCGTTATTTCATATTATACAGATCTTACATTATGTTATATTATCATCTATTAAATTATATATATATATTCTTTTATATTGAATCATATGTATTCTATTTCATATCTTTAAAATCACATTCCAGGTTTTACCAATATATAAGTAGAAGTTAAGTTACTTTGCATTTGATTTTGTCAATTGGCTTCATTTTGAATTAAACTAGTATAAACCAAATAATATAATTAAAATTATATAAATCATATTTAATTTATGTTGAGCCTTATTACATGGTGTAAAAATATCACCCTCCCTACTTTACGCTCACCCCCTGCGCCAATGCATTTTTGATAATGTATCGAACCTAGGGGGGACAGTGTCTATTAGTTTTAGGGGCTTGAATGTATGCAACCTATGGGGGGCAGTGGCGTTAAAGTAAATGCCAACATGTATGACATAGGGAGGCCACTGTCAGAAGGACAACACAATGTCTTCAAAATTCGACTGGTCTCTCTTTTTTCTCCCCGATTTGGCTTGAAGATCTTTCATTAATTTGAAGTTCACACAGGCTCACAATGGGTATTCAAGCTTTCATAAAAGAGCGATGTTCCTCGCAACTTCTTGGGTGCATTTGAATTCAATTTCCCCCCTAGCTTCATATTTTCTTCTAGCATGTTCTCTTGGGACATTTTGTGATACATCTTAGCCGCTACCAATACCAAGCTATCACCCACCATTGGTTCTTAGCTTCTGGTACGGTAGTTGATTTCGAAGTGATGACATCAACAGCAATAAGTGTACAAGACCAGGGCGGGGTTCAATACACCGGCACTTCCTAGGGGAATACCTGCAGGTACCCCCTGAAAATGTATAAGCATAGGGGTTTATCGTAAGGGGTTTTGCGGATAGTGACAGTTCCCAGGGTTACATAGCCCCTAAAATGTATCAGCAATAGGGGGGACATGGGGGGACACCATGAAGGTATACCCCCCTTGACCCAAACAGTCATCTCGTATAAAATGAATTCCCGGGGAACGTGTTTCCGAGACTGAGAAACGTATATTTTGAGGGGGCGTACACCCCCCTTATACATTTGTTAGGGGTGTGGGAGGTAATAATATCATATCAGTAGCATAATAAAATACATTCTATACATGTGGTATACTATAATGGTATGGTTTAATATGTTGCGTCGTGTTATATTATGTCATATTATGTATCTTCTATGACATATGTTGTAATATTGTATTACATTAGTTTAGATTATACTGTCTGTATCACCTTACCATACTACAGTCATTGTTACATCACAATACATATAATTATATATTATATATGTATATACAATACATTCATAATCATTCATATATACATATCGTACGTCGTACATATTGTATTGGTGTTACAGTTGTATCTCAGGTGCCAGAGGGGAGGATTGACTCTCTGATTTCGGTTCGTCCTAATTTTGTGCAGAAATGCATATGCGCCAATGAGATTAATTTCACTCTAAGGACCATACAGTCAATGATTAATTAATGGTTGCGGGAATCCATGTTTAGAGGATTGCTTACAAATGCTTACAATGCTTACAAATTGCTCCCTGTAGAAAAGAAATCAAGCATTACTTCAGCGCCATGCCCAAAAGGCTGATTGGAGAGAATCGGTTCGGCGACCTTTGGGTTGCTCTTAGTTGGATTATCCCAGCTCTTCCAACTTGCTATGGAACAAAAAATTATTTCAGTCGGCATAGTCCGGAGTCAAGCAGCTAAAGCATGTTCAAGCTAAGCCAATTCATGGTCAACTGCAGCAAGCCGTACAACTCTAGAAGGAGCATCAGCATTATTGCCAAAAAATGGCATGAAAACACGACACACTAGCGTACGGATCTGAAGATTCCTTCTCGCATTCTGTCAGGAAGCGACAAATTTGATCCCAGCAATGTAGGTCCAAAATGATCAAAATGGCACTGCGGATAGCAGCAAAAGTTGTATGCCTCTCACAGCGACCCACGCAGGACATCAATCAGCCTGGCCGGTGACAAATTATGTAACAGAAAAAGTGTTTCCCATGTTTGCTGACCAAACTCCTCCGGTCTAAGCAATCTTTTGAAGACTGCAGGCATTGGATGATTAAGCTTAAAGGCTTACCAGTCTCAAATATGCTGAAGATCCAAAGTTGCGCCTCTGTAGATTTCTCCTGGCAAAAAGAGCGCCAAACTTCTGCTACCGCTCAATCTTCACATAAAGCGCATGCCTTTTGCATGTCTGGATTTGTTTGTGAATTCCAGTTCCACTAGAGTTGAAGAGGCCAGAATAGTGATGAGAATAGTGCCTACTCAATTACTAAGCGTAGTTGAAACATCCTAGTTCTTGCTCTCTGCAAAAGCCAACTCTGAGTTTTAGAAAATTAGGTGGAAATCTCTGGACAGGTGATAGAGGCGGATAGAGTCGGATAGAGGAGATTTCCATCTGTGGAAGCAACAGCCCTCCTGAAGTGAAATGCAATGAAGTTCTCAGTGAAGTCCTGACTTGCTTCGGAGGACGGCTTTTGCGCTTCAGGGCTCACCTTGATGTCAAGACGGTTTATTTTTACAGGCTTTGCTGCACTGATGTTTTGTACAGCAACCAAGAGGTTCCGAGCGATTTTGAGTTCATTACTTTGAGCACAAACTTCATATGGGACATGGCTACTTGGACTGAGGAGGCTGAGCCATCTGCACGTCCGCTCTCCTGCAAAGTTTGCATTAAAACTCTGAATTCTAACTGATAAAAATGATAAGACCAAAGCAGGCACATCTGTGATCTTGTGATCTGGTATCCACCAGTCCAGCAATCCCAAAATCAAGAGTCACAACGAACAAAAAGAATAGGCCCAGCTGATCATCCCCAACAGCAAAGGTGGTAGGAAAGAGTGACAGCAGCCATTGAAGTTTCAATACCACCTATCAAGTTTCAACCACAACTGAACTCACACCAAAGCCTCGGGCACACACGGGAACCGCCCCAGAACCTGCACCAAAATCTCCAAAACCATCCAGAACCAATCCCGGAAGCCACACCGGAAAGAACTATATACCACAACGGAGCCTCCGGAACCATCCCAGAACCCACAGCAGAACCTTCCGAACGACCACGATGGAACCTCTGGAACCACCCGGAACCATCCTGGAACCTGCACCACCTCCCGGAACCAACACGGAACTTGCACCGGAACCTCGGGATCACCACCGGATGCGCCGAACCTTTCTCTGGGCTTAGCGAACGCTGGGGAAAAATGAAATCACTATATAGACCGATTTGACTGCTACAACATGCTAAGTTTCAAAGCAATATGTGCAAAATGTTTGGCAATGCAGATTCCGAAAGATACCGTACCACAGGTGTCCTGCCCAGTGGAGACAAAGCCACTCGTGCCACTGGGACTGGACATTTCAGATCCTGCTTCGGAAGCCAATTGCTGCAACTTTCCGTTTACAAACGAAAACAGTGATGACATCAGCAATCCTCTAGTAACACAGCGACAAATTTGTTGTGTCATGGAAACATGTCGAAGACTTGCTGATGCCTATTGCCTATATAGATGGGAATTCTGGTCGGGTCAAAGGCTCAATCGCAGCAGAAAAACGATAGTGTGACTACAGTGTTGAAATCAACAGCTTCTTGGAGCACTGCCCTTTCAATGATGTTTTCCACCGATGTGTAATTCAGTTGACTTAGATCTCTTGTCCTGATCCCATGAAGGTCATTGGCGTCATCATGTTGGGGATTGCGTACCTGGTGGCAAGAAAGGGTCAAACAATGTCAAACAATGTCAAACATTCAAATTGAGACCTGCCTGCATGGCCTTGCTGGGCTATTTGTTTGTCTTTTTTCTGAGAAGGATTGTCGTTTGGAAATGGTAGACTTCTTCGCAACTGAAATCTGGTCATTGTCTGGCGACATTGACCTTCGCGGCTGATGGCTTGGGCAAGCGGCCAACCCAGGTCACATCATCTGCGGCACTTGCTGCATCATTCCGTTTGGATGGCAAACCACCTCGAAACAAAATAATACTACAGCTACTACAGCTTCAGTAGGACCGTCAGACAAAAAGGAAGTTCCTCAACAGACAAAAAACACATGCACCAAAGTGTTCCTTAGGGCACCGCCATGACGTTGTTCATTTGACCCATGTTGCTGTTGGCGCATGATGTTCCATTGCCTCATGGATGCAAAATTCCCACTTGGGTGAAGTCCTGCATGTCCGATCATGTCCGCATGTCTCCAAGTACACACTTCATCAGGTCACGTATGTCGATATGTCATGATATGTCACAATAGTACTCAGTGCATCTCAGTGCTATGCTTCGAAATTGAATTTGTTTCTCACGAGATTCTTATCAACTGATGTTCCAGGTGCCTAGGATTCAGAGTCATTTCAGTGAGTTGGTGGGTAGTTCCTTAATCTTTCATAGACTTTTACAATTTGAGCATCGCCACTGTAGATTCAGATTGGAGAGGTAGGTCCAACCACGGCCCTCTTTGCGTGCCTTGAGCTCCATTTGCCGGACTGCTACTGCAGGCACCAAAACAAACACGGCTGAAACATGCTGAAACTTCGCAGGACATTTCTAGAGAGCTGCCACCCCACTCGCATTGGACACTCCATGTCAAGGCTGTGTTTAAAGTCCAGCAAAGGCCGAATGATGCATCACTTTGCAATTAGTATGTACGACATCTTAATCCTGGCAGTTTTGTGCCTGACATTCATGTTGCCCTCCATGGATGTTGGAGAGTTGCCTCCTGTGCCTCGTTTTTTCCGTTCAGTCAGAAATTGTTCATGGGCGAAAGAAGAAATGCCTCCTCTTGGCATCAAAAGGAGGAGTGAAGAAGGTGAGTCAGTGTTAACAAGCCAATAAAAATCTGGGAACCACAACCTGATGAATGTTATATTTATTGGGAAGAGTCCGCGAAGAGCTAGATGGCGTGATCAAACGGTATCAAGCATGCCATACCATATATATCAGTATTGGCGTGTTGGTATTGAACTGTAGAACCATACAAAACGAAGGAGATAAAATTCAATGTGTGACTTACTGTAAGTTTTTCAACACGCGTTTGGATGTGCAGGCACTGAGGAGGCTGTGTGTATGGCTTCTGTCAGTGCCTTAGCTGTCCTATGCCGCAGTGACCGCTTACACTCTGGCTGTATCGGCTGAGTCACAGTTCGCATAATTGGTCGCGTTCACCTGGCTTTGCAGCACCCGTACAGTCTCCTCAAGCTGAGCCTCAAATGCAGTTTGGAGAAAACAGAATCAGAAAAAAGACGTTGTAGAGAAGAACACAGAGGGAACAGATTTTATATCATGTGCCCTCCCTCTTGTATGTGCGCATGTGTCTGACCTGTTATCTCTCCGGCCCAAGGAACCTCCATGACTGTGTATGAATTTACAATCCAAGGAGCCTGTCGATTCTGCAACTCGGTGAGGATGGAGAAAATGAGGTCGAACTTTTCATTCCCCTTGGCAGACGCTGATTTGCTAGACAATTGCTAGCCGTTGATTTGGGGGCACTTGCCACATGAAACCCCTGATGCCTCCGAAACACGCCTTTAACGAAATCAAAATCCAAGATGAGATTTTCATAGATTTTCTATGTTGACAGATCTTATGTTGCTGCAAATGTTGCAGCTATGCTTCTTTCTCGCCAAGCTTGCGCAGATTGTCTATGAATTCCTGGCAGACTCTGCGACGCGCTCACCCACACAAATCTCATAACTCAAAGTAGGAAACATATATAACTCTTTTGCCCGTAACGTGCCCAATGTGAACACCATGAGATCCCATCCCATCCCGCAGTCCTGGGACATAGAATCGATGCGGCCCTCGAGGTTGCTAAGGGTGGTCTGCGGGCAGAGCAAGTGGGATGTGCTCGGACCCTGCGATGCTTAGATTGGCTCAGGCATGCAACAAGAATTTCACGTTTTTTCACAAGACATATTCACTTTAGTCATCTTTATTATTGGACTACAACTCTTTCTCAACTTTATTCCTCTCTTTATTTTGTTTTAGTGAGCCAATCCAACATCCAACTCCGTTGCGCCATGATGGCCTCCTGCGCCGGTGGACTTGACCAAACCTCCTCTCCTCAGTCAAACATCGGCTTCACATAAGTCCTAAACGAGTGTCCCAGTGTCACAAGAAAATTTAAAGAAACATCATTGCAACGATTTGCAAAGGAATGGCCTGCTTCTTGGTCTGCCCACTTGCATCCAGTTCCACCTGAGCAAAGCACAGACCGTATACCCACTGAGTCAAGGCGTCTAAAGCACAGACAGAGGTCTGAAATACAAGACAACCAAGACTTGAAGAATCAGAACAGCGTCAGTACAGTGTGATGAAAGAACCTTCGAACGCACATGTTTGAACCTTCGACTGCTCATCTGAGGCAGTCTGAGGCAAGTGGCTGGAGATCAAGGTATTGCCTTGGAAGCAGAGATTTCATGGATATGTTGACACATGTTGACACATTAACAATTTCATACAATTTCTTTACGAGAATAATGAGAATGTTTTTGAGAATGCTTTTGAGAATTTTGAGAAATAATGAGAATAGGTTTTGCAAATTGTTGCAAGACGCCGTTCCTCAATCAAGATGTGACTACAAAGAAATTGCAGCCTTGCCAGATGATAAGGCTAAGTGCCCAGACTCCACACAGAATCGCTCTGCGCCTCTTTTTGGTTCTCCTAAGCCAAGACTGCCCAAACCCTTCCAAACACGTTGGAGAAGAAAAACAACGGGATTTGATGATGTACATTGAATTACTGATTTACCTAAGTAAAAATGGATGGATTTTACACAGTTGGTGCACAATGTTGTGCAAGAACCTAGCGGACCTAGCACTGCAACTCAGAGCAGCGGACCACAGAAGTGTCCGATGGTTGCTGGTAGTCGCGACGATAGGACCGACCGCCACGTCCTGGAAGTGCCAACATTGCAAGGAAAACAAATTAAAAGGGAAGCACCAAGATGCACAACATGTCAGAACTCTTGAAAGTTTCAGTCGATGCTACAACACACATGCATCAAAAGACTCCTGTTGCTGTGGTAGTGGACCGATCCTCATGTCTTTAGAAGCGGCAAAACCCTAAGCCACTTGACAGTTCCCTTGGATTTTGGAGATTAACATGATTCACATGTTTTGATAGAAATTCACATATGAATCATCATATGAACACACATGTCTTTGAAGGAAAGGAAATGCTGAGAAATGATGGAAAGTGTGAACAAAAAACTCGATTCGCAAACTAATGGCGAGTGCACAAAGACGTCCAGCAAAGAGCAAAAGTGAAAAACCAAACCTGGAGAGGTAGAAAAACACGTGAACCTTCAAACATTAAGCACTTTCACCCACAATTGTTTCTTTGCCCTGTTACCTACACGTGATGCCTTGGTACAATTTGATAGCCCTGGAAATGCTTTAATACGTCTTGATATTAATCTGACAAAATCGAAATCCAGTAATGCCCAAAAAATATGGTCCAATAAATTCGATTGCAAAATATGAATTTGCAGAATTGCAGCACTGATTGCACTGATTGCACTGATTGCAGTGTCACTTTGTGCACGTATGCTGTCAAGATGCGAAGCCTCTGCTGCGATAGGCCCCACGGCCTCGGATACCCAACACAACAGAAACAACAACCGTTGGCACTGTTGGCACCATGGTCTCAAAGATTTCAATTCGTTTTTTATTGAGATCTTAAACTAGGTGAAGTAAAAAACCTTTCACATGCAGGATTTTTGTTGCACCGGGCCCATGGCCACAAAGACTCTGAATTTGTTCACTGTCAAACATTATATCATAGAGTGTCGCGCATGTTCATGAATTTTGTTTGATAATTTTGCAAACATCACTTCAAATTTCACATCATATATTCAAAATTTGCCCCCAAATGTCATATCTTCAAACTGGACGAGCAGCCAGATCCTTTGAAAGACTCCGTCGCAGTGGCAGCTGGCAACAAGTGACAATTGGTTACACATTTGCACATTTAACAAGACCAGCAACATCTTGCAACCGTGCATGTGCAATCATTCACTTGCAAGACCAATCATATTTCAATTCCAACAAACACAAACATTTTTTTACACTGATTTACATCTGCCGGGAAGAACGATGTTCGTCAATCACTGCAACAAATTACGAACAATATTTTAAAATTGTCCATTTCAATCCAAACCGGAGTATGCAATGCCGCGCCTCCTCGGTACATGCTTCTCGTGAAACTGTGCACAGACTGGACCTCGGATTGGATAGATTGGTCTCATATGTATCATGATTGCATGTGACAAAATTGACACGTGAAACATCGGCCACCGTGCCTGGGTCCGCACACAAACCTTGCCCCTTGACCTTGTTGGCTTCCACTTGAGGCCACAGAAAGCAGCAGTCGACTTAATTCAACAAGAACACTCTATCGACAGCATTTTGTCGTTCCTTCGGCTTGGGTTTTGCTGCACATTAGCGCCACCTGGAACAAATAGTTTCCAAACCTGTTTCAAGCATGGATTTGTTGCTCTCCTCAGTTTTGGTGCGAGACATTGGCTGGTAAGTTTCACCAATGCATTTGGTTTTAAGGGGAGGGAATTTGGCCCGTGGGTGCGGGGAGGGAACGAGGTGTTGTCTTTGTGCCGTGGTCGAGTACTTTGCGCCCCGGACGAAAAGTTGGTTGCCCGGTGTGACACCACTTTTTGTCGGAGTTGCTGCCATGTGATTTCTTACGTCTTACGTTTGGTGACTAAACTGAATTGGTTTTCGTTTTCGATTGTACCGGTAAGCAAAACAGTTCCTTTGAACAACACGTTCAACATGACTATGAGGATGGCGATGGGGATGACGATGACCATGACAGTGCCCATGACGGTAATGATCATGATGATGATGATGATGATGATGATGCTTATGATGATGATTCTGATGATGATGATTTTTATTATTATTATCGTTATTATTTTTATTATTGTTATTATTGTTATTATTGTTATTATTGTTGCCGTGATCATGGTGGTCAATTCAAACAAAATATGTTGTCAGTCGCACACGTTTTGACAACCCATGGAAACGTTGTTTGAGGGATGAGGTTTGCAAGTGTTTTGTTATTCCCGATTGCAAAAATCAAACTATGCATTTTTCCAAAACTGAAAAAAATAATGGTTCCAATTTTCCTGCAAACTTGCTCACGGGGCTCACATCATACAAATATATACATATACATGTGCACCAAGTACCCCCGCATATTAGCCTTCCGATTGTTATGAGAAGAAAATGATGATTTGGGATGGTGGAAGAGGATGATGATCGGATGGGGAAGAGATAGGTGGATAGATAGATACATACAAAGATAGATAGATAGATAGATAGATAGATTGATTGATTGATTGATTGGCAGATACATAAAAAGATAGATAGGGTAGATACATTAAAAAAATAGATACGGTAGATACTTACAAAAAATAGACAGGGTAGATACATAAAAAGATAGATAGGGTAGATACATAAAAAGATAGATAGGGTAGATACATAAAAAGATAGATAGATAGATAGATAGGTAGATAGATAGATAGATAGGTAGATAGATAGATAGATAGACAGATAGATAGGTAGATAGATAGATAGATAGGATAAGACTTAAGATAAGATAAGATAAGATAAGATAAAATGAGATAGATAGATAGATAGGTAGATAGATAGATAGATAGGTAGATAGATGGATAGATAGATAGATAGATCGATCGATTGACAGATCGATAGATCGATAAATTGAAAGATCGATGGATCGATCGATCGATAGATATAGGTAGGTAGATAGATTGACAGATAGATCGATCCATAGAACGCTAGAATGCTAGAACGCAACAATCATGTAGATCAATAGATCGATAGAGCGCTAGAAACATAGATCGATAGATCGATGGATGGATTGTGGTTGGGTGGACAGACAGACATACAGACAGACAAACAGCATTTTCACAGCAATCTATTATAGAAACTTCTACACACAGACACTTTTACACAACAATTTTTACACACAGAAGTTTTTACAGGGGGAAACCTTCACACAGACACTTTTACGCAAAGCAATTTTTACACACAGAAGCTTTTACACAGGGAAGCCTTTACACAGAGCAGTTTTTACACAAATCGAAGCTTTTACACAGCAGGGAAACCGTTACACTGAGCAGATTTCACGCACAGAAGCATTTACACAGAAGCCTTTACACACAGAATACACAGAAATTTTTCGACAGACCAGTTTTTACCCTTTTACACATGGACACTTTTACACAGAGCAGCTTCAGACACAAAAGTCTTTACACAGGGAAGACCTCACACAGAGCAGTTTTTACACAAATGATTTTCACACGCAGACGTTTTTACACAGAGCAGCTAAAACACACACAAGTTTTTACACACGGAAGCTTTCACACAGAAGTTTTTGCACACGGACGCTTTTGCACACAGACGCTTTTACACTCAGAAGTTTTTTCACAGGGAAGCCTTCATACAGAGCACCTTTTTAGACACAGCACGCAGGAGAATTTACACACAGACGGACGCTTTTACACGGGAACGCCTTTACACACACAGCAGTTTTGACAGACGGACGCTTTTACACAGGAATGTATCAGAGCAGCTTTAGACAGGGAAGCCTTTACACAGAGAAGCCTTTTCACACAGAAGCTTTTGTACAAGCAGCTTTTAGACACAGAACTTTTTTGCACAGGGAAGCCTTTCCACAGCTTACGCAAATACATATTTATATTTGTATTTAAACACAAAGAAGCCTTTGCACACAGACGTGTTTTTTTCCATCGCCAGCTTTCGCCAGGTCCGGTCGAGCACTATTTATTCAGGATTTAAAGGCCATACTCTATATATCTGTACATATACCTATATCATGTATCATCTTATATCATCCCATACGTCTATATACCTATATATATATATGTATATATATATATATGTATATATATATATATGTATATATATATATACACATATGTATGTGTATACGGTCCTGACTTTGCTGGTTGAACCAGCGACGAAGCTTGCATTCATTTGAATTCAATGATCATGCCGCAGCGTAAAGCTTCTGTGTGCTCGCGGAAAAATACATATTCTCCGGATATCCCACATTGCCCATGAATTAAATCTGCCATCTTGCTGAAAAGATGAAAGAGACCGTACTGTTGGAGGACCAAAAGAGACCGTACTGTTGGAGAACCCTTACACGGTCCCAATGGGGCCATCACGATCCGAAAGAAAAACAGAAAACAAAACAGAAACCAAAAATAAACAAAACGCAAACAAAACCAAAAAACCAAACACACCAAACACAAAGAGTCACCAAGCGGCATGATGAAAAGTTGACCTGAGCAGGTTGAAGAGATAAAGGCTTGTGCATGATCAAATAGATTGGTAAACGAGAAAAAAAGCAACAGAACAAGAACGAAAAGCGCCATGCGAGAGACATGTGAGAAAAAGCAACACAGCACTGGGTTTTTCCAGCAGGAGCTGTGAGACCACAGAGTTGCGAGGACGTATCGTGTATTTTTGGTCTTTGTTTTTTGTCTTGCCAGCTCAATGGATTGTGTATCGATCCATTTCAGTTCTCTTTTGTATCACATTGTCATTATGACCAATGTTGCTACTGCATTAATTCATTGAATTTGCACAATGCAATTGTCTTTCCGGCTTGATAAACGACCTGGCGAGAGCCATCTGGCGTTGGACGGAAAAAAAAGAGTTGCGAGGACGTATCGAGACCCTTGAAGCAGTTTTCCAGGCTGCTGCCAGAAACTTCACTATTCGGCTTGCAGAGAAATTAGCGAAGTTTTTGTGTATGTTGTGCGCGGTCTTCAGCCAGCAGGAGCCACCAGAGTAACGCTTGACGTCATTATCCCGTCTCCCACAGGCCTGACTCCGGAAAAG